GCTCAGCACTTTGACCACTGAATACTCCCACTCAGTGATTTTTACATACATGTAGTGTCACTTTCTACTCTTGAACAACTGCATTATTCAGCAACACCATTCACAACATTTCAGTGCCACTGTAACAGAGCTGAGTCCAAGCTGTTGTCTGCTACTCTGAACACTTCTTTTGTCTTTTGTCCACCTTACTTCAGCCCAGTGTTCTTACATTGTCATTTGTACAGTTTCTGAAAAATTAAAGCCTTTTATGAGTGGTGTGATGTAGTCACAATGATTTGCACACTGAAACTCAGAACTCATATCCATTGGATTTGTTCAGTTTCCTATCCTCCACAGACTTCTAATCTAAGCATCTTTACTTTGAAGATAACTCAATAAAGACAACTACAATGTTTTCTTTGTTGCCAGAACCAACAAAAAGATTTGAGAAAGTGATGGGTAAAAGATTCAGCAATAAAATAAGTTAAAACCTGCATTGAGATAGCGATAATATCTACACACCAGTGCCCGGCTCCCATTACAGAGAGAAATACAGTACAAACACAATAGAGATGTGCAGCTGGAACGGAACTGATTTTTTCTTTCTTTTTAACCCCTCTACCCCATTTCCCTAACTTTTCCTTTACTGAAGCAGCTGATGCTTTGCAAAACAAAAGGTGGTTCTATCTGTCTAGATCAAGGAGGTCACTCACTATGAATAACAGGAATAAAGAGCTGGAACCCTGTTCTAGTGGTATATAGACCAGGCCAAGTATCTTCCAATGAATGTTTTTTTTAAGAATTTAAAACTGCCATGTGTAGCATGCAGTTTGCAATTTGTTGTGCCCAAGAAGCGTTGCTTTAAGGTGACGCAGCATTTGAGGGATTCCTACATATATTACGATTGAGTATTTGAAGTTATGGATGAGTTATTCACTACCACTAACTGGATTGCTAACTTGAACTGGCTGTTAAATACATCTGTGTCGTTTGTTCTGTTCTCATTTTGTACCTTGAAATGCACTTCACCCGACCTATGAGGCAGAACCTATAACATTTATTTTTCTACTGTGTGCTATTAAATTCAGTATTGTTTTCTTAATTTTAGTACTGTAGCAAAGTAAGATAAAAAATTATCTAGAAATAAGTTTTTAGATTAGAAAGGTATGAAAGTATTTATACCGAACCTTTTGCATTTTTGTTTCATTAACATGAGGGGGAAATAGAAACATTTTTATATTATTAACTTTCAACGACATAATGCTGAATTATTTAGTGTCAAAAAAGTATATTATATACTTTTATGTGTTTCCTAGTTTGAGAAGAAAAATGTATTATGAGAAAATGTAGGCAATTATTGTTTCCCCTTTCTATTTAAAAGTGATATCTTACCAGTTGGATCTTTTAGACGTATCTGGGGTGAATGAACAAAAAAGCATGAACTGCAGTGGGCTGCCTTTGTGTGGCAGTTATAAATGTCTGGGTTCACAAGACAGCGGAAACATGAGCCTGCTGTACTGCCATATGTACTCATCCATAACTTCAAATAGTCAATTCAGAATGACACAAGAATACCCACAGAATGTTACTCCAGGAAATATTTCTTTACATGAAACACAACTGTGCTGGCACCTGCTTGCAGTTTCGCTTCCACTGTGCTGTTACTCTGTGCTGCTGTTCCTGTGTCCTAACACCAGCTGTTTGTGTGACTCCAGCTGTTTTCCAGCACTTTCTCATCACTCCCTCCCTTCAGCAATCACGCTTGTTCTGTCTCTCCTTCCTAACTCACCCTCTGGTACTTATTCTGACCATACATGTCAGCTCACTATCTCCCATCAACAGCAAGCTTGTTGTAAGTTAGTGCTTCTTTTTTCTTTTGCATGTTTGCCATGGAGTGGCAGCTCCACTCAGAAACTGTCCCAGCAAACGGGGAACTCTTCTCACATTTCACTAACCTCTGCCAGCCTGAGCCCAAGGGGCAGATTGTGTTGAAGTATTTTGAGCTGTGCTTTTTATTTGATTTTTTTGGCACAAGGCTATTGAATGCTAACTTAAACCAAACTTCAATGTTCACCCCCCCTCCCCCAGTTTTGGTTCTCACATTCCCCATCCTCACGAGACTCCTCTCCCAATTTCCTGCAAAGGTTTTCCTGCACTTCCCACCCCAGTCCCTAGAATCTGTGGATAGTCCCTTCCACATTCTCACAAAGATGCACATTCGGCCTGCACTGGCATGACCTTCAAGAAAATAAGAGTGCTTTTCTAGCAAGTTCGACTCCCTCATTTATTTGCTTTTCTTTGTTTGGACATTTGGCAATTAGCTACCCGTACCTGAACTGTATACCTAAGCAATGTGTTCCCAGATGTCTCTAGAGTACAGATGGGACAAAGAAAACAAGTTCCAAACTGAGCCCACATTCTCCTTCAGTGACCTCCTCTCTGACGGATTAACCACACTGCTTTGCTGTTAATGTCTTATCCCTCTCCTGCCTGGGACTAATTCCATGCTTCAGGCTGGGTTTGCTTATCCATTGCTAAAGGCGTAAAGTAAGAAAAACAAAACATGGAGGAGCAATGAAGGGGGTCTGAGCAGAAGTCTAGCTCAATACTATACAACTACCGCAGGCCTTGGCACTCCGTTCCCTAGTCTCTGATAGCTAAAATGAAAAGTCTTTCTTTACTTTAAAAAGTCCGGGGAAAGGCATCCTGCTTAAGGAAAAAGTCCCCAGTGAAAAGAAAAAGGGAACAGCTGAGTTCCAGGGCCTCACGAGAATTTAGGCCTCTGCTCAGTGTCGCGTTGCCATTATAGGACATGCTGTTGCTGACATTTCTTCCACTAACAGAATGTTGTTTTGTGTTTTTGCAGACAGTTTCTTGATTCGGATATGCCTAGGTATTATTTTCAAATCCCTCTCCTCTCATTCTCTTAGTTTGGAATTTTTTCTTCTCTCCATCCAACCCTGTCCTCATCTCTCCGGTCTGATCCATGTGATTGTTTGCCATTGTTTTGACTCTGTTTCGGGCTCTCTGGTTCGCTGGTCTCACTCACTGTTCCCTCCTTGCTTTCTTTGTGTCCTGTTTCCTTCTTTCTTTCCCTCTGGGTTCGGTTTGACATGTGAAGGAGAATTTTTCTGCAAAGACCCCTCCGGATGTAGAGGGTGTTTTGAACTGCTGTTAGTTTGCTACTAACTCATGGCAAACAGAGGCTGCATGATTCGCTTTGCTTCTCTGGGCTGTGGTCTGGCTGCATTTTTGCTGAGGTGCTGTAGAAATCAGTAATCCCTTTCCTGTCTGGCATTTCTTTCAGTAGCAAGTTATAAACATTAAAGCCAGAGTTTTTAGTTTTCTGCCATAAAAAAAACCTTACTTAGGAGAAACCATGGAAAACTAGATTTAAGCAATTCTTTTGTCTGAGTTTATATCTTTTTGCCTTTTACTCAGGAGATATTATCATTTAATAATTCAGTTTAATAATCAAAAACTGTATTTCACTTTTATATGTATGGAAAGCTACAAACTCCTGCTTTAAGGATGGGAGTATTTTACAGTGCCTAGTAGTACACCTTTAGCAACTACTTTATTGAACACCTCCTTATTTATTTACATAAACATTGTTCGTATCTTTTTACGCTTCCAAAATGCAGGTTATACATAATCCAGAAATACATTTTGAACAAAACTGATCTTTTGATTTCATCCTTTCATGAAGACACTAATATGGAAACTTCAATGTGTTTTGGAGTGCCGACCTCACTGGACTGGAGAAAAATAGACCAATCTCATAATGCAACATAATCAGTAATAAAAAAACTGCAAGGCTGTTATGAGGGTTCACTGCAGAGTAAGTTAAAAATACATGCTTCATTTTGTTCTTCATAATATGCAGGCAGACTGAACCAAAAGAAACAAATGTTTGTCCATCAGATGCGTGTGTGTGTTACAGATTTCAAAAAAAGGCTGTCAACTGGGAAAATGGACAAGAAGAAAATGGAACTTTCTGGAAATACAGTACATTTACAACCAAAAACAGGGGGGCGTTGTTTTAAGCTTGATGGTCTGAGTGGCCTCCTCTAATTTCTAACTGTTCTCATGCTCTAGATTTAAGTCATGGGTTCTGAAACGATGTGTTGGGACCTAAAGTGGGTTGGGGACACCATTCTCATGTGTTTTGGTATGGTGATGTGCATTTCCTGGTCTAATGTCCTATTTGCACTGAAAACTAAGTGTGAGATAGAATTGTAGGGGACTACACTTCATCGTAAGGAAGTCCCCTTCAAAGCAAGATGAGCTGTGAAAGGACACTGTGCCATTAATTGGGGTGCTTTGCTAGAAAGGCTTAGGAACCCATTAGTTAGAAAAGGCAACAAGTTCAAGTAGGTAGCCGCTTCAGCTTGCATAGGCTGCGAAGGAACAGGTAATTGTTTATTCCACACAGAAAGGAAAAGAAAAGAGATACAACATTTCGGCAGTGTAGCCTTCTTCAAGTGTGTGGAATTACAACCTTCTTCAACCTGTGGAATTACAGCTATCAAGAGGGCATCCAGAAAAAAACAGCTTCTGAAACATTTAAGTCTAAATTAGTGAAATAATTCTGAAAATGTGCTATTCCAAGCTGCAGTGTAATGTATGAATATATATATGAAAATATTTCCAAGGGTGACATTGGCACTAAAGACTGGAGAAAGCTACTCTCTGCCGACGAACAGGCTCTAAGCGTCTCAATAAGTGAAAGTACCTTTCAGAGTGTAAGATGAACTTTATAATTCAGACATCACTGGTTATACGCTTTGAATGCCCAGGCTGACCTGTCACCTGTCACCTTGCAGAGGTGTCACCAAGAGCTGCATCACTCCACGAATTGTTGCCAACACTGCTGTAGGCACTGCGACATCTACAGCTTGGAGAGCAGGTCAACATCTTGGTGTCCTCACTCCCTCCATATTGGGCTGTAGTGGTACAGCAAATGCAGTTTCTAAATGACAGATGTCTGGGAGAAAAATAAAATATTATGTTTAATTCCCATGAAAAGAAAAAACAAAATATCTCCAATATTTGTTGTCAGTGGTGGGACTCACAACTGCTGTATCTTAATAAGGGGTTCATACACACTTATCAATATTGTAGCACTCTCGGGTTCACATGGCCCTGCACCGCTGGGGACTCAAACCCAGGCCTCAAACTCAAACCCAGGCCTCCGGCATCACTCAACAGGGACCCAGCCACTTGAGCTAATGAGAAATCTCCCCTCAGCCCGGCGGCTGTGATCCCTGCTATTCACAGGGAAGGGCGGTGACGTCACCGCGCTGGTAAGCCAGCTCTCAGAACCTGTGATGTCGGCCGTATGCATTACAATATAATATTACATATCTTGACTTTTATGATTCCACATATTTGCATTCTGGAGGGCATCTTTAAATCTGTAAATGATTTAGAAATGTAAACATGCACCTGTCAACTTTTAGGCAAAACATTAGTTCTCCCTGAAGTAATTAAAATCATAAAATGTGACCCTTGTCATGAGGACCCATTCGCCACTCAAAAAAACATTAGAGACAGAAACTACAGTCTTTATTACAGTCCATCTAGCTGAGAATCTATAATTTCCAATTGTAAGGCTGTATAATGCGGTTGGCTGTGTCTACGTTAAAGTTTGATCTTTTCTGTGTAGTTTGTTTCTTCCAGGAAAAAAAATGTTTCACCTCAGAATTGACAGGTGTCAACAAAAAATAAGCAGACAATATGCATCTAAAATCAGATAACTGTCTACCTCCTGCTGAATGAACACTAGTGTGTAAGAGTGAAGTAACTACAGTATTTTCCCTGATCATGGTATGTACAGCAGTTGCCATTTATGTTTGTTTTGTCTTTTTAGATTTAGTTTGTCTGTTATATCATTCTTCCAAAACATAGAGACATAACAGACAAACCTCTATTCCATTTAGAACTTTGAAATCTGAAAGAAAAGAAAGAAAATACTAAAGACTGAGAAACAAATCTTTATCTAGAGATCAGAAATTTTCTACCAAGAAGACAAGTGATGTGGGAAATTGTGTTCTAGAAGTACGTAAAGTTCTGGATACCATTCGATTAAGATTAATCATCTGATAACAACAGATGTACTAAAGATAAAGGCCTTTGCGTGTTAATAGATCAACCACAATATTGCTAAAATGTCAAAATATGGTCTAAGTTGTATAACTGTTATACACCACTTCAGAATAATATGAATTTGGTCAAAGTCGTTTTAGATTTTATTTTCTGACAAGGCCCGTAAAAGCTGACAGAACACAAGCGAAAAGTATTTTGCAGCCAGTATGTAGAGCAATAAGTGTTTAGTTTATTTAGAAGTTGAGATTCCGAGGTGCAAGGCTCTTGGATTCCACCTGAGGTCTTTGCAGAAAGCAGTCTCTCGATAGCGGCAAGCTGATTGCTTATAAATATTATCAAGCATTCATCCTTTAGCAGCCTGCTGTATTGGGGATACTGGGCTACCACTTCCCCATTCAAAGTATTGGGTACTTGTACCTCAGTGAAAAACAAATTACGCAGGACATACAGTATGTAAAGGATTTACTGTACAAGTATTTCAAGGGGAAGATTGTTGACTTTGTCTTGTCAGCTTGCTCTGGTTTTGCAATGCTTACAATTATCTGTTGCCTATTACAAAACTGCTCAAAGTGAATTCTGGATTACTCAGGCCAGAGCAGAGTAATTCTGGATTACTCAGTGCGACCATCTGAGTACTCCAGGGAAGACAACTTGAATCCTGCTGTTGTGTATCTGGGTAACACAATGGTAACAGAATGGGATGTACTTTGCGGTACTGATATAGTGGGCTGCTTGAATTTTGATAGTGCCATAATTTTAAATTTCTATGATATGTTGAAACAAACTACAAAATTATTAAAGGATTTTTTTGCCATTTACAGTACACATATTTCAGAACTGTATTCCAGGTATTTCTGGTTCCTGTGGAATATTTGAACTGTCTCTTTTTGATTTCTTGCCAAAAGTGAACTTAAATGCTACCTGGAAAGCTAAGATGTTCTTGAGTCTTGTGACAAGAACTTCCTTCAGCTTTTTACACTGAAGGAAAATAGAGGGTAGGCTATACCTTTGAGAAAGCTCGAAAAGGGTACCCAGTGCTCTGAAGGTGGGTGTATTTAAAGATGGAGCTGGACCAAGGCTGGTTTTGGGGTGGTGCTTCACCTATTCCTTAATAACCCTTTATTGGACTTCATTTAACTTTCCTGTCCCTGCCTTCCGTAGAAACACAATTGTTCTTCACCTTTTAACGTACTTAATACCTGCAGCTCTTTTCCTTCTGGGTGATACAGGAGGCTTTTGCTGGTGTTTTCCAACTAAAAACATTTTGCACCCAAATTAACAGTTGCATGCATCAACAAAATGTGGTAAACACAAGAAAGAAAACATTGTCTATATTTTTTAAAGAGAGCTGGATTAGAGCCTTCCATTGGACTGCTCTGTTATTATTAAACACAGGCACTCCACAGTAAAATGTATAATTACTGACGTATAATTATGAGGTATAAGTCATCTCTAGTGCAATTGCTTTTGTTCAGCTTTGTCCTTCAGAATTTCAATAACTGCCACTTACAAGAGGCACTGTGAGAGTAGAGAATTGAGTAAGATTCATATATGAGAGGACATATTTCTGCCTTCAGTTTCCTTTATTCATCAACAGAATTTAGTAATAAAGTGAAAGTTGGAAATGGGCTTTTCAATTGGGGAACAAGGAAGATGCGTTGCATAAAATGACATTTTTTGTATTGCCCAATCAATTTCTTAGCTTGTACAATTACGCTCTTTACATTCACAGAGCCCAAGCTATTAATAGAGAACAGTAAAACAGAGAATAGTGAGATATGCAGGCATGCTTAGGCCTTTAATAATGGCTTGGCAGGAGCTGCTACTCGATCCTCATAGAAATGTGTGCCCATGTTATTTTCTGAATAAGAAGAGCTGGAAAACCCAGAAGGAAAATGCATCTGCTTCACAATGCCCACTGCCATAACTATTTCTTAACTCTCACATTTTATTCTTTTGCTGGTTTCCTTCCTCTCAAAGCATTTCGTTGGGAATTGATCATAGGTATATCTCACCCCTCTCCCTTCTTGCACCCTCCTTCCTTCTCTCTGTCTGCCTCCCTATGTCTCATCCCCTCTCTCTCTTCTGTATGGATTTTGTCTTTGTCCTTCACACAGAAATCAATAATAACAAATGGCCCTTGATTTATGTTTTTTTGTTGCATGTGGGTTCTGTCTAAATCCAAAGTTTTGTGAGTGTTTATCCGATATGTGTCATGGAATTGATGTTGTCCTTTTAAAAGACGTGTATTATGTCTCCTGTGATGAGCTGTCAAAGAATGTGCCTTATTGTCTATTCATGTTAATTATGAACAGTACCTCAGCCAGGATTCTACACAGGATACCAAAGTCTACTGATCATTGGTAGAACATAAGCAATAATTTCTTTACCATTTCTATTCACATACATATTCAGCCCTTACTGTGAGTATTTTGTCATAATCATCCTTTTGACTTTAATTATGATAAGGGATTTCATGATGAAAAATAGTTGGCATGGTAGTATCAGCTGTTATCTAGCAGGAATAAGCAGTGTTTTACATTTGTGTTATAAGTTATCAAAGAGTATGAGTCGCTTTCTGTTCATACCTGACACCCAGTCCCTACATCTGCATAGCTTGCTTCATGTTCAGTATCATCACATTATTGAGTCTCAGGATCAACAAAGTTGTCAGTTTTGCAGTTGATGCTATGAAAAAGAATGAAATCAACAGAAATCAATACCAATTATAAGAAATGAGGAATTAACGGCTAAGATCGACAAAACCTTATTTCAAATTAGTGATGGGTTGCACAACTCTTGTCTTTGAGGAGCGAGGCTTGTATCAGGAATACAAGGTTCAAGCTGTTCTTCAGTGTCGGATATTTAAGAAATATTTGACTGTTGGTTCCATAGAACCTACTTAAATACCATACAGATCTTAAATGCTTTAAAACAGCTTTGCTAAATAAATGCTTATTATAGTACTGTACATACAAGAAGTATTTAATCGTTACACTTACAAAGCCTTACAGTATTTGTTGATTCAGAGCAGACTCCTAAAACTGCATCCAGTTGTTGCATCCATTTAAGAAAGAAATCAGATTTTTTCATTCGATTCAGACTTAATTTATTTATTTCAAAATATGTAGCTTTCCCTTCTGCATCCGGTGCTGAATAGGAACCCCCTTATTATTGCATTACAATTTATGAAAATAGCTTGTTACTCATCCTCGGCCTTCAGAGTTCTGATTCCAGGAGCATCACGGGGAATTTGATATGTCTGAAGGTAAATCTGTTAATGGAAAGGTCAGCCTGCCCTTCAGGTTTTGCCTGCTCCTGTGTTCAGGCACTTAAGAAAAACAGTGCAACTGTGCTATTGCCTCCTCTCCAGTTGAGTGTTTCCTGACCCCATTTGTTGTCATCCATCAGTAGTCTGTCTGCTGTCTTTCCTGTTTAAGATGGAACAGCCTGTGATTGCCAGATGCCGGAGAGGAGAGCAGGGAAGCACATTCACATTCATTTGCGATCTTGAAACATTAGCTTACAAACGGATGGTATTAAGACACAGCTATTTTAAATTAGTCCCCTGGAGGTCATACGGTACCTCTAGGTCTTTTTATTTTTTAAGCACCTAAAGAGATGTTTTAATTTAGTTTGGTTCAGACACTTACTGTCAGAATTAGATCAAGAGCTCCGGTGGAATGAGAACCTATAGAAACGTTAGGCTTCCAGGACTAGAGTTGTGTATCCCAGTTTTAAATTGAAGTGAAAGTACTTTCTCAGAGGAGGATGAACCATTTGATTAGCTCAAAAACTCAAATTCCATGCAGATGAATTTAACTACTCATTTATCTTCTACCTAGTTGTAAGCAGTTCAAACAGCTTGGCTCCTCTTAGAAGCTTTTCAAATTCTTTTATAATACAATAGGAGAAGGCTGAGTAAGCTAAACATGTCCCAGTTTGACAATAGATTATGCTTTGCACCAGTTAAAAGTGGTCAGCAATCAGAAACCTGACTGGTCCGTTGTCTTACAGATCAGATGGGACATTTTAAAACTTGGAAAGTTAATTGTATACGCTTTTTATCATTGAATATTCAATGGCATTAACAAAAACATGGATGTTACAAAATAAAAATAAGTTTTGCCTAACCAAGACAGCCCAAACGGTGAAACAAATTGAATTTGCATCTAAATACACTGGCCTCTAACAGCCCAGAAACGTTAGGTTCTGTTGATTGTCATGAGTGTGAGGCAGACTGCACCATTCTTCATATCTTTGGCAACACATTCATGGAAAATCCCATCTGACAACACCTGGAATGTTGGCTTTCCTTGTGTGCTTCTCTATAGGACCTTCTATCGTTTCGAGGCAGCCTGGGACAGCTCCATGCACAATTCCCTGCTGCTGAACCGTGTCACCCCCTACGGCGAGAAAATCTATATGACCCTCTCCGCTTACCTGGAGGTAACTGGGCCTGTGCTTTCTTTTCACGTTGATCGTAACTTTAAAGAAACTTCTCTGGTGCTATCAGATTAATAAACAGCAGAGTGTCAGTTGGAACCCTCAAATAAAATATGCAGCAAGGAATATTTGTAACATGCAGGTAACTACCACTATTATGTAAATGATATGATGTTTAATCAAAAAGAAAAATATATATAAGTTTTTAAAGATTAAAAGTTACATTCAGAATTCTCAGAGTTAGAGTCATCCGTCTGGTCTTAGCACAACAAGGGTCATTTTTACTCTTTTCTTGTACGACAGATGGAGAACTGCACCCAACCGACAGTGATAACCAAAGATTTCTGCATGGTGTTCTACTCCAGGGATGCCAAATTGCCGGCATCCCGCTCCATCCGAAATCTCTTTGGTAGCGGAAGCTTGAAAGCATCAGAGAGGTGAGCCTTCCTAAGCAGCTTGAGGATGGGGTGTTCCTGGGAATTGACAGGAAGCTCTGGCGGGAAGATGAACACGGTCCGGGGCTGAGATATGGAGAGGGCTAATTCTACGACAGCCCTAAGGAAGCAAGAATCTGCGTTTTAAAATTGAGGAAAAAAAAGGAAGGCGATAATTCCTTTTAACACACAATACGGTGGTTACAAAGAGCAATGCTTTCTCTGTTTCTGTGCGATATAATGCCAATCGACTCGCATGGTGAGCTGAAGCTTTGTCCTTCTGTCCCTAGTAACCGTGTCACTGGGGTGTATGAAGTCAGTCTGTGCCACCAGGCCGATGCAGGAAGTCCAGGTAAGAGTGTCTCAGTTCTTGCTTGTTCTTGCAGTCTGTCTTCCTGTTCTATACTTTTGTGGCAGAAGGCTGCAGAGGGTATTATTTGTAGTCAATTTCAGTGGAACTGATTCAGAAAGACTTCGGTTATAAAAACATGTCACTTTCTGTTAGGCAATAGGACTGTTGAAAGCATTTGGGATTTTTGTAGGTAACATCATCCTCACTGAAATCGGAGTAGAGAACTCACTGTAGAGAGCCAAGTACCATTACAGGAAACAAATACTAAGAGTGAAACAAAATAAATACTATTTCCATCCAAGGACAAACATTTCGAGTTTTATTTTCAGCACTTTGAGAACAGAAGGGCACAGAACTGCAGACAGAGCAATGTAAAGGCTTCTAAACTTGTTTCTGAAGGGTGTTTCTGTAGACCCTCTCACGGTTCACCTGGCTTGTCTGCTCTGGTTTCCCAGGCATGCAGAGGCGGCGCAGGAGGGTCCTGGACACCTCTGTGGCCTACGTCCGCGGCGAGGAGAACCTGGCTGGCTGGAGGCCCCGCAGCGACAGCCTCATTCTGGACCACCAGTGGGAGCTGGAGAAGCTCAGCCTGCTGCAGGAGGTCAGTGCAAGCTGGGGCTGCTGATACAAAAGACATTCTTCCTGCTCTGTCTTTAATCCCGAGAAACCCGGTGGATTTTCAGTCTTTTACAAGTTTGTGCATTCAGTTACTGTCTCTGAGCGGATTGCCATGGGTGACACAGGCTATTTGTTTTCAGGATCATCTCCAGTTGCCTGGGCTTCCTTTAAGGACAGCGACTGTGCTAATAGCGCCCCCTGGTGTCTGTGTGCGTGTGTTCACAGGTGGAGAAGACCAGGCACTACCTGCTTTTGAGGGAGAAACTGGAGACCACCCTCTTGATTGGCCAGGAGTCCCTGTCATCCTGCGGAAGTGAAGACCTCAGCGATTCCTCCCAGTCCTCCTCTGACAGCAGCCCTCCTGGGCTTGACCTCACCCCCGAGAGCCCCAATGAGAGGCAAAGAGAGCTGGCCGCCAAGGTGACCTCACTGCTGAAAGTGTGAACACCTTGGGTCCCGTGCTTATCCAGTGTTGAATATTGACAGCTTCTTTTCTTTGCACAAATGATTCATTTGCTGCTGAGCCTTTCAAAAATATATTTCTCTGTAAAGTTGTATCTACTGGCAGTGACACAGCAGTGTAAGAAGGTTCAGTAATATTCCAAAATAATCCTTTGAATGTGCCTTGAGTTTTCGTCAGATTTTGCATGGTTTAAAAAAATTGAGAGGAGTTCGGAACAATTGCTGTGGTAACAAGATCTCTGTTTCCTCGGGAACGAAATCCATCATGCTAGGCTCACTTCCATGCTTTAGTTGTGTCACATCAATGGCGACGCAACTACAACAAAATAGCAATATTTTTCTAGTTTTGACCCATACCAGCACATATGCAGTAAACCCCTCGACGGCACTGCTTTTGGATTTGTTGCTCAGCAGTAGCATTGCCGTGCCTTGCGCTTGGAGACAATGATGCCCTGCTTGTTTTCCTTAGTGTCTGCGGCTCCTCACTCACACCTTCAACAGAGAATACAGTCACGTGTGCGTCAGCGCCAGCGAGAGCAAGGTAACTTGAGGAAGCCAGGCCTCACGGCACACACAATTCACACCCACAGTGACGTCCGTCTCAGTTCATGACCGTGTAGAGATATCTGTCGGGGGCCTCCTGGGCACTCGTCACTTTTGTAAAACAATACACCGCGCGCCTCTTCCCTTTTCTTTGTCCCGTTTGCACCCATTTCATATTTTTGCGAAGAAAGGATGATTTCCCTGCTCGTCTCTGTAACATGACTGTGTGGTTTTATTGAATTTTATGTGTCATCTCTTTCAAACAGCCAAGCAATTGAAACACAAACTAAGAACGTTTCATATCTCACCACCACAAACCATGACATGGACTGAGTAGTAGATCACTGTAAAGTGTATATCATGGCGTATGTCAGTCACTTGTAATATCTTAATGGGTAGCACTATTAAGATTTAATGTGGGCTTCTTATTTTGGGGTGCCACTCCCATTCTTGCTATGTGATGGCATTGAAAAGCACTCTTCACAGCTGCCCTTCCAGAGGTCCTGGGTTAACATTAGAAGTAAAATAAAAAGCCAAATGATCCCATGTAAAAACAACACATAATTGTAAATATTGTTACATATCCAGTACTCTTAATATACTGTACATCTTCCTGCATTGGAAAATTGTTAATGGTTTTAAAGAGAAATGTACTTAGGTGGTCCATGTTGCCAGCCATGTTGTGACAGTGTGAGAGCACCTCAGTCGTGTTTTTCTTTGTGTTGTGTGATAAGGCGGTGTCTCTGTGCGTTTCAGCTGTCTGAGATGTCTGTGACCCTGATGAGGGACCCTTCAGCCTCCACTCTGACCAGCACCATGACCCCCTCTTCCACTTGTCCCTCACTGGTGGAGGGACGTTACGTCAACACAGAGCTCAGGTCAGGCCAGCGACTCCCCTTCTCCACCTCTTCATACTGTGGGAAATATTGTACAGGTCAATAGCCCAATACCATGAGCAATAAAGCTGCTGGTAATTGATGCATTAAAACCATATGGGAATCCAGCATGGTGATTCCCCTATGAGAAACTGGGTTTACACTGAAATCACAATCAAAATAGATCCTTTTACAAGTATGTTAGGTAAGTAGGGTGGAAAGAGGATCAATATCAATATAGATTTCAAAGGACCAAGATAAAATTGCTGACTTTGTAGAAGTAAAGTGCAGTAGCAGCTACAGGAAGATCGGTTTCAGTAAGTTCAAAGAAAAGGACCGTGCCTGTACCGAAACTGAAAAGATAGGGAGGCTTCGTTTATTTTGGAGGATCCGTTACTGAAAATGTGAAGAGGTCACAGACTGTTACTCACTTCTTGTTCATGTGGTAGCATTCACATTGTGTTACACATTCAATTTCACTTCAGTTACACAAATAAGGAAGAACACGCAATTGCACGCGTTGAAGAAGTACAGAAAAGCCTAACAGTCTTGCACGAGAGGGATGTCAGTGTGTGTTAGCCGCCATGATCTCTTTCTCCGCTGCAGAACCCCCGAGGTGCGCTCTCGCTCTGCCAGCCCTGACCCTGATGCCCTCCAGGATGGGGAAATGAAAAAGTCCCCAAGTGGAAGCCTGGATCTGAAGAGGAGAGTGCGCTACTTTGTCCCAGACATCCAGGAAATCCGTGTCAGGTGAGACGGCTTTCAGCTGCGGTGTTGTGAAGGAACTGTAAGCAGAGCAGCCTCTCGGACCAGGAGGGCTGGGCAGACCAGGCCTCCCAAAACGTGTGATTGGCTTACCAAGGATGCCCCAGGTCCTTTCACAACTGAAGAAACTAGCAGAAATCTATTTCCACAACCCCCCTCCTTGCCTTTTAAATGAGAAAAAGTATCCTCTACGGACTGTAATATCCTAAAGATAGAACCATCCTTTAAAGAGACTGGAAAGTGTCCAAGTGATTTTACATCCCCAAAATATTCATAATGGCGCCATGATACCGTTATCCCCCAGACTGCACCTCTTGCCCTTCTCACAGGTCCTTCTGTGCTTCACCATCCCCATCTATATTGTGTCTTCCATTGTTTCCAAGCCATATTATGTTCCTATTGGGATGTAAACAATGGAGTTGCTGGTTTTTATTAATTAAGTTGAGAACAACAAACATTTAATGTCTGCTCTCTCCTTGCAGTTGCTCTGTTGTTCAAAATGGGGATGTTCTAAGTTTAGGCTATGTTGTTGTCTTGTTGGTACAGCCCGATTGTGTCAAAGAAGGGTTACCTCCACTTCCTGGAGCCTCACACTAATGGCTGGGTGAAGAGATATGTGGTGGTGCGCCGGCCATACGTCTATATCTATAACAGCGAGAAGGACAGTGTGGAGAGAGCCATTCTGAACCTGTCTTCAGCACAAGTTGAGTACAGCGAAGACCAGCAGGCCATGTTGAAGGTAAGTCCTCTGGTATTTAGTATTTTATGAAAAGACCAGGACCAAAATAAAAATTGATTGCTTTCTTTGTTTGGTATTTCTCCGGAATTTTAATATATTCCATGGCACTAAACATGGTTGATTTAAACATTATGTCTCAGGCAAAACAACCAGAGAATAACAAAGGTGAGTTCACTGGGTTGTCAGAAGACATGCCAATTAGGCGTGAAGTTGAGACATCAAAATTGGTCCAATGTATTTTAAACTAAAGTAGCTTAATCCATTTATGGTCTTCTTTCAGTTTTTGATGCTAAATTGTAATTGGATGTTGCATTATATGTGATTAATAAATTGTGTGTACTCTTATGTGTGTTCTTTCTTCCTACAGTACAGTAGCCTCTAGCTCTCATGCTTTACTTTCAGTCCAATTAAATAGACCCATTGAATTCAATTGATGCCAGGTCTGCGCCCACTTTTCCGTTAAACTATGTCACTCTTTTTGCAGACTCTCAACACATTTGCAGTCTGCACTGAGCATCGTGGAATTCTGCTTCAAGCCAGCAATGACAAGGATATGCACGACTGGCTGTATGCTTTTAACCCACTCCTTGCTGGATCCATCAGGTAATGCCGACAGTGGAGTTTTCATTTAGTATTTTACATGTTCAGTGCATCCATTGATATATCCTTTGCTCATATTTGAATGACCGTTAAGGTTAGTCATTGTGTAATAAATATAATGGAGATGTGACAATGAGTGGCTATCTTTCACTGTAAATTAAATCCGTATATTTGTTAAAATATCCTTTATAAAACCAAATGCTTACCGTTTGAGGAAGAAAGATACACATCATCAAAACTGGTGTACAGCACAACTAGAGCATTTTAATCAATAGCTCTGTTCTTTTTCCTAGATCAAAGCTTTCCAGAAGAAGAGCTGGCCAGATGAGGATCTGAAATGGTCACAATCCTCTATCCCAACAAATCTTACACAAAGGAAATTAATGAAATAGAAAACAAAGACTAACCATGTATATAGATCACCTGACCTAACGCCCAACCCCTGTGCTGTTTCAGTCCCTCCTGTAACCTGCCTGCTGTTGCACACGCTCAGTTTATCACAACCAAATCAAGACTTTAATGCAAAGCCCAATGACTCCCATCTTTGCAGTGTGTCGGGCTCTCTGTTGCTGATGGGCTATCATCACAATATAATTTTCCAGTGCAACCAGGCCCTCTATTACTGGAATATTCCCAGATCATAGAAGTGAAAGAGGTAGTGAGGAGTGGTCTCTTGCCAGTTCCTTGTTTTTCCAGAATAGCTGCTCTTATTCAATTCAGCAACACATTGTGTTGCATTCTCAGAACATTGTACGTTATATAGTTTCAGTTTATGATAATATTTATTTCTCCATGCAAGCCAGCCCTGATTCTATTACTATATTTCAATCAAATTGATTTTTTTGCCCATGAAATTCATATTTCAGCTTGACAAATAGTGCATTGAAAGATGAGACCAATGTCACGTTAGCTTCCAAGTCTGTGTAGCTATATAATGTTGAAGATGTGGTGTCTTCACAGCACCTAGGTCAGTGTTAAACACCAAGTATTTCCCAATGAATGGTCCCAGTTGAGTTCCACTTCATAGGTTTAACTTAATCCACTGAGTTTGTGGCTTCATGGGTAACACAGCTGCTATAAAAAGTTGTTTGTGTTTTGGTATATGTATGTGGGAGGGTGAAGGGGTAAAATGCACTGGAGTTTTAAAATCAAATCTTTTGGTATTACGCTCATAGCTCGTCTTTGTCATGGTTGCACTTGTAAAGTAGGAGGTGTGATTTAAGTTTCATTTTCTCCTATGGGTGCGGTATCACAGGTTTACTGTACATGGTTTGTCACACCTAAATGTCAATAATGGTGAAGATGACCTTCCTTTTGAAAAACATTTACCACTGTCTGCTTGTGTGGCCTCACTTGGTCCTGGTTTGGCTTAGCTGGCTTCTTACTTGCTAAACTTCAGATTCCTCAGTCAAGAGGTTTTAAAGTTGCTTAACTGAGCTTATGTCACATGAAAATAATCTTTTCCCCGCTCTTTCCAAATTTGGTTTGCACATCATTTTTAAAATCCTGTTATTTATTTCATCATTTAATTATTTATTTATAGAAACATTTATATTTTTACTAAACTAGAAGAGAATTTCTGAAATATTGCACTTTCTTTGAGAAATTTCCTTAAACCTTATTTGCAGAACAGCTCTTGTATTTGTGCACATTATCTTTCAACCAGAAACTCAAGTTTGGGATTCCCATATTAGCGTGTATGAAATGATCTGATTAAGCAGCTCAATGCTGTAGTACAGGAACTGAAAACCCATTAGCTGTCCATGTATAAAGCTCTTGCAATTGGTAGAGAGAAGGTGAGCACTCACTTGTAAGGATGTCTGTGACATAACATAAGCCTTATTGTACACTACAAAAGCTTACTTCATTTCTGTTTTGTGCCCACAGATAAGGAAATGTGCATAGAGGATAATAACCAAAAATTGAATATTTGATCTTTATACACTATTCATTCACTGAATTTGATTACTTACTGAAGCCTCCCTGTTTGCACAACGAATGCTCCATCACATCTTTAAAGGTTGTGTGTGGAAGTGTTGTTTTACATTGGGCAATCCATGTAGCCCCTCCTTTATCTTTCACAGAACCTCCAGTCAGTTTATCATGCTGCCACAGTATGTTCAGCTTCGTTTGTTCACATTGACTCTCTATGCCCATTATCTTGGATCACATAGAAGGAAAAATATATGTAAGGCAATGTTGGTTTTCCTCTGTATAAATGAAGTGTACATGTTGCACGCTTACTGTGCCTGTATGAGATGTCACTATTGGCATTTTATAAGCATATGATAAAACGACTAGCAGCATTTGTAATTTTATACATATTGCACTAGAAACGTATCATCTCATGTATGCATCCTAGTTTTATTCACTGGAATGTAAGGAGCATTCTGGTTCTATGATTAGCACCTTATGTGTAGCTTCTGAGTGCTGGTTTCTGCTCTGCACAGGTTCACAGCAGGCCTTCGTTTAGCATGGTTTTGCATTTGTCAGTTTTAAATGCACCTTTTGTGGAGCACTTCATTACACCACCCTATCTGAGGAGGTAGCTGAAGCACTGAGTCAGATCCCAGCCCCCAGCCTGATTTCCATTCCTTCATGGTGCATAACAAACCTCCGTGATTGAAAGAGGCCTTTGCCTTGTTCAAGTCCATTAGGGTTTGCCTTAAAGCTACCGGAAATATCTTTTTTTTTCAGATATCGCTTTCAGGCATTTTTAAGACCTATTAATCAAGACAACTAATTTTATGGTTTGCACAATCATCATTAATCAACATGAAAGAATAGGAGAGAAACATGAAAAATACAGAGAGATAAGTAAAGGTATGTTAAGCATATGATAGTATACACTTAATGCAAATATATATTGGGTGAGAAAACTCCTGCACTGTTAGTAGAGTGAGACCTGGCTCAAACGCAGGAAAGGGGTTAAAGCTAGATGGTATACTTAACCGCAGAAAATATCACAAACCTGATTTTCTAGAGGAGGTCATGATTGAGAGCAGTTACTGTCATGCACTTCCTATTATTTGTAGTTTATTCTCGACAAAACACCTTTCTGAATGATTGTAGTCAACAAGAATCTCAGAGAGAATGCATCTCGTAAATGTGATCCATTGATCAAGTTGCTTAACGTGAATATAACAATGCCCTTGAGCCTCCACTTTTGCACTTTGTAGGTGACCAAAAATTGAGAAATCGTTTCTAAAAAATGTTGTAGCTTGTTTTGATCTGGTGTACAGTACAATGTTCACGCTCAATATCACATGAAGACTCTGTAATAACTGTCCATGCCATCTTGGTAACTGTGGTAAGAGGAAGGTTATTTGGCTTCTGAGTAGATTCCCGAGGCAGTGCAGAGTGGAACATCATTCCAATCCTCAGTTTTTCTCTCTCTCTCTTTTGTCTGTGTTCATATTTAGGGTATATTTTTATATCTGATGTTTTGAATATTGCTCTCGAGAGCCTTATTTTGCAGGAAACATCTTGAATACTGAACATGCCCTTGGTCTGCCAATCATTGGAGCATGTGTTCCTGAGTGTTCTGATACTGTAGGTAGAACTCCGTTGAGCTGCATGGTGGAATCTTCCAGGTGTTCTATACAACCCTGGAGGCTGAGGAGCATGCCTGGGGCCAGCCAACCCACAGAGCATGCAGAGTTGTGAGCCAGCCTGAGAACACTACTAGCTGTCTCTGAGAAATGTATGTCAAGAACATCAGAAAAGATTATAAGCAAAGCTTGTGCTGAGCCATAAAATAATTATTCTATACCTGCTGGAGAGCTATCACTCCACTATCTAAGCATTAAGTATGTTAGGTTTAAAGTGAATACAGTAATTAAAAAGCAACTGATTCATTTAGTATTTTACAGTATTCAGCAGTACAGGACGTTGTTGCTGGAGAGCATTGGTTTTCTCATTCCATTTGCCACAGTTTCTACTGTGTCCAGATCAATGCAGTACTGTGTAAGAAAAATAAGCCTACAGTTTTAAATAAAAGCTTCTTTACGTAGTTTCTTTAGGATCAAATAATACTTTATTGATCAAACTGTCCTGCTTGAGATTCGGAGGACATAATTGAAATATTGTAATGATAAACACTATTGCTGCCCGAACAAGTTACAGTATATCACTGTGACAGTATGGGAACAGCAGCTGCTCAGTATATTCCTGAACATCTCCGCTAAACTCTTAAAGTACCTGACAATGATGGATTACCAAGATGTGCATTCCCTTTATTGAAAGGAATAACTTTACAGCAGAACATAACTGTAGATGGAAGAAGAGCCTTCTGAATGGCTTTCAGATAAACCCCCAGCAAGGAGAAGTATCGATATCGGGGAGAATGGAAATATTTTTAGATGGGTTTGCTCAGTTTTTGGTCATCTCAAAAGAAAGGTTTGCAATTAGTAAAAGAATACAATAGAGTTACTATTCCCCTGCTTTGTGTTATTAGGAAATGTATATATTGTTTCATCTTACGGATAACATGTAAGTTTATTTTATGGAAAAAGGAAAAAGACACTGCAAGGGCTGCGGAAACAGTGTTACCAATCCTTTAAGCTGTGAAATGCATTTGTCCCATAAAAGAGCTGAATAGAGTGTTTGAATAGCCCAAGGCTGGTGCAGCGCACCACGAACAGCACAGGACAAGAATATGCTGATTGATAGACGAACTGGATTTTCATTAGCATAGCTACCTTTATGAGATGGCGTTTTAATCAGAACTGTAGTTTTTTACATTTAAAAACTACCATTCTGCTTAATTTTTCCTTTCAACCTCTGATGGGAGTTTGAAAACAAATGTCAAACGTGTAAAATTTAGTTGGCACTCGTGCTTTTGTGGAATTTGTTTTCTTTACAGAAAGGGAAGCTGACAATTTCTGATGTTCCAAAGCTGTGGCAGCAAAAAAAACCCCGAAACAACAGAAAACACTTGCAGTTCAATTCAAATGTTGTATCTCAATGCTGCATTCAATACAAGACCATGCTTGCATGCATTTGTTGAGCTGAGCAGTCCACTTACTGTAAACCTCTTTGGTTTACATCTGATTGGCTGTTTTCAATGGTGTGCATCATGAGCCTTTGTCTGTTCCATTGAGCACTTTGGTTCCATGGCACTCATTTGCCCCTTAATATGGAGAAGTGTTAGACTGTGATAATGTAATTGCAATTGCTAGTTCTAATGTGGATTTGTGTTGATCTAGAAAATAGTACAGTATCCAAACCACTTCTCTCCACCTGGGACAATAAAATTAAGTTGGAGAATTTGGGCTTTGTATGTTATTGAGCCAAAATATTGTTATCTCTTTCCTCCATGACATCACCCACAGGAAAGCTGCCATTTTAGGTGCATTAGTCAAATAATTTCCTCTTTCTAGATCTGTGCACTGGATGACCAGCCCATATGGCTCTTGGTCAACCATTGATGGGCAGTAAAAAAAGAATCACTTGCAGATTCACTAAGTTCATGTGGAAAAACAATATTGTGATTTTGGCTGCCATAGTTTTGAGGCATGAGAATTTCTGAGCTGACATGCTGTGTATCCTACACCCTCATCCTATCCTCCTCTCATCACAATCTCAGTGATCACATTCAGCGCATCTGCCTAGATGTTGTGTAAGACAACGACTAAAAAAAAAAAAAAGAGGCTCATTTTTAACATCTTATTTCTGTGCTTCCATATCAGAATAGTACCCAAGGGTTCTTCCTTAGCTCTTTTAAACAAAATCCATCATCATGTTTATCTTTTTTTTTTTTTGCTCTGTATATAAAACACGATTGCTGTGGACGATGTATAATACAGCTGTAACCTGTTTGTACCATCATGAATGGGCAGTAGTTTAATTGATGTCTCAAAACTATCTGAGTGTTGGAGTTAAGCGTCTTCAGATGTTTGTGTACACTTAACACATAGTCGGATATTAAATAAACGTGGAACTTATGCAACACCGCCATTGTCTCCTGTGTGTGTTCTTTCTTTTAACGCCAAAAAGTGCCGGTCTGAGTGCAACATTCTGCCCGCACTGTGGGTTCCAGCTCGCAGCACACTGCATGCTAGGCTATAACAACGAGGGCAGAAACAATCTGGATCAATTCTGCACAGTCTCAGAGATCAATTTTTTGACTTATTGCAGCACATGAAATGTACAACAGTACCGCGCGGCCATTGTATTCCAAAACTGAGTCGTTCGGATCAAAAGTTGTAACCTAGCATGATTGAATCTCATACAAATGCAAGTCCTTCTATCAGTGGTTGTGATTGTTTCCCATCCATTCTTTTTGGTTTGGGGAACATGTCAAAATCCTAAGCCCAGAGAAGTTCAGATATAAACAATGGAAATGCTCACTTGACACCCCAGGTAGGGTTAGGGTTAGCATTCACAAACTACATAGACAATTCTTAAGCTCCCGGGTCAGATTTAGTACAAGTGGTTTTTACCTCCTATTTGAAAATGATTTTTTTTTCAGAAACTCCCAGGGGCCTGGATGTGGCGGTGCGTCGCTCGGCAGTTGTATGCGAAAACTGATTTGGTTGGATCAAAAGTTGTAACCAAGCACTATTGAATATCATTTAAACGCAAGTGCTTTTATCGGTGGGCTTCTTTGTATCACATTCATTCTTTTTGGTTTGGTGATCATGTCAAAATCCTCAGCCCAGAGATGTTCAGATATACAGTAAACAGCGGAAATGCTCACCTGACACCCCAGGCAGTGTAAGGGTTAGCATTCTCACACTACCTAGACAATTTTTAAGGTTTGGGGTGAATTCTGGGTCCTAAGTCACGTTAAGAATGAGTGGTATTAACCTCCTATCTGAATTTATTTTTTCAGAAACCTCCAGGGGCCTGGATGTGGTACCGCACAATCATTTTCTGTGTGTTCTTTTTCAAAACACTCTCGATATGATAAACACGATTGCCTCAGAATACCATGTTCAGACTTGTCTCACGTGTTCATAACAAGGAAGAATAGAGAGGGGTTCTGGAGTGAATGCTACATAACAGAATTAACAAATATTTCCCCTTTAAAAAATACTTTCTAGTTTTACACACTAGTGTATAACTTTCAAATAGTTTACACCTTGGATTCCTGTAGTGGTATAGTGTTTACACAGTGAACAGCTCATTAAGAAAACTAATCAATTTTCTTTGAAATATTTTTGGGAAATTCACGTTGTGACAAAATATATTGCACAATAAATTTGAAGAAACTTTATGGAAAAAAGTTTTCCTATCTGATTTTTTATTCTGTTAAAGAAATAACTTTTTTGGAGTTATAGACCAACTCTACATCCGTTGTACACTAAAATATGTAAGGCAGAACTTATTTTTTATATTGGTTTAAATATATTTATGTAACCTTCCGAACTAAGATTTCATCTGTTTCATTAGCAGATGTAATTATTTTGTTATTCGTAGGCATCTTTTGCTTATTACGTTTAACAATCCTTAAGGGTTAAACAGATGAGTACAGTTGACACCGTTACACCGCTTTACAATGTATTTTGCATAGATTACCTTTCTACATTCAACCCGGAAACAAAAACTTGACAGCAACGTAGGTGATTATGCCCTTGTAAACCTATTTATAACGGCGTTCCAGCCGTGGAAATAAATTTGCCATTGCACGGATTTCATCCAGATATTATTTGCGTTACTCGTTGGCGTTTCAGAACTCCTAGCTAGGTGGCGCTAGCAGTTGCGATGAGGATTATGTACAGTAACACACGTTTGTCAGACAGCGCTGTTCATTTGGGTGGAACAGCGCAGTACAATTCTATTAGACATGTAAATGATCAAAAGGCAAGACATACAATGGAAATTAATTAATTCAAAATTTATTTTTAGCTTTTATAATTGTAAATTCCTCTGGCTGCTAAGTGTGTTTATATCTGTATCTGTTATAATATGTTGTCTCCTTTTTTTGTATTTCTGACGTTTAAATAAAAACGTGAGCAGCTGCGCAGTGATGCAGATACAGTACTTTAGCTTGTGGATGCGTGGCCTGATGACCTTTTGCCCTGACTGATTTGATGCAGACAGTCGTATCTGTACAGACTCCCTTAACTCTGCGTGCAGTCAACGCAGCCAAGGAGTTATGAGCCCACCCAATACCTCAACCGGTATGGTGACGTTTACAATGCCTGATTGTATCGTACACGATCATTGCAGGTAAACAAAGGTGAAGCAGCTTATACATTATCGGTGATTTCCTCGGAAACACGGCTACGTATTGATTATGCCTGTGATGTAAAAACAACACGGATTGTTACGTCATAATAAACTGGTGCATAGTAGGCAGCTCAGGTCCTCAAAAATAAGGTCCTTCTGGTCATAGCAACGTGAACAGCTGAGAGACGCGCTTCTGCGGAGGAAGATACTGTCGGGAGCTCGGAAAGGTTTGTAAACAAATAATATTATTCATATACATTTTAGCTTTCTTTCCGAGGCTCTTTTTCTTTTCTTGGCAACATTATTCAGTGGAAATTGTAGTATTTGATCAAGCGTCAAAGAGTATCAGTTTAAAAACGAGTGCTTTGTAAACTTGCATCGTTAACGTTTTACGTTATTATTGCTATTAATATTGATACTCTTTATCAAACAGCAGTGGTGTGCTTGTTATGTTAACTTGTAAACGTAGACCTACAACTCTCGGGGAATGCGGTTGCTGTCAGCAAACTATCTGCCAACGAAATCCGAAATAAAATGTATATTTAATATGCACGTGTAAAGACACATACATGGTTCTTTTGTTTCCTAATTTTTTATATCGTTGTATCTTTTAAAAAAGGTACCAAAACGTGAACGTATCAATTCAGGCTACCGTACAGGTTGTTAGCGCCTCCAAGCGGACTTTATTACACATTATAATACAATGTATTATTTTACACTTACTGTTATACTATATGATACGATGCAGTTACCTTCAGCGTCATTGTTTTTTATTTTTTTCATGTCTTTATTTTCAAGGGAATTCGGATTTTGATCGGTCCAGAAGGCAGGGAATTTCCCAAGCGTGACACATCGATCTGCTTGACTCCAGATCACGAAGGGCGAGAAACTCCTGAAAATGACTTACACGGCCAAGAAGTGCGGGGTCCGGTTCACCCCCCCAGCCATCGTGCTGATTTATGAAGACGCAGTAACGCAGAAGGCGCGGAAGCGGATCATGCCCGTTCGGAGCTTCTCGAAGTTCTCAGGTGAGCCGCCACGCCTGGCCAGGGCAGGAGAACACTTTTTAGGGAGAACGCTCCTGGACTGCGCCGAAATGAGAAGTTCGTACTCGGTCCGGAAGGAAGAAAGCATGTCTTCATCTAACCCCCAGCATATGACATGAATACGTGTTTTAGTTGGGCGATATTGGTGCCTTTTCATTTCATATCAACACATTTCATATATGCATCATAGATCGTGGTTGTTAGTACTACAATATTTAAATGTCAGGCAAAATATGAATATTTCGTTCTGCTTCATTGAAAGAGGTACATGACTTCCTTACTTTGGACTGTTTGGCAGTAGGAATCATTGGTGTGAATGCATTTGGTGATATTTGCTTCTCTGACGTCTTAGTAAATCCGCAAATGTTAGAAAGCCTGAGGAGCACAAGAGTGAAGTGAACTACGCTCTGAGCAAAATGTTCGTCTCTTCACTCCGATGAAAATGCAGGCGTCCTTTTGTCTCCAGCCTATGTAAACGTGTTTCGGGCTCTGTGCTATATTTTTCGAGGGCCAAAAAATAATAATAATCCCCTGAATATTTCAACTCTGGCTGCTTCCAACATTCCAGCCCTGAGAGTCTTATTGCACTTTTCATGCCCGTGTCCTCCCGGCAGACTGCAGCAAGGCAGCAGAGCGGCTGAAAAACAACGTGCGGCATAGCGCCTACCTGCAGGACGTGTCCATGAGGCAGATGGAGAGGCTTCATGTGATCCTGCGAGACCGATTGCTGGGCCGCACTCTGGAGCAGAGCCTAGCCTCGCTGCGCCTGGACCCCAACGAAGACCTGAATAAGCTTGGCGACGAGGAACTGTCCAGGAAGAAGGCCCGGATGGATCAGCTCTTTGAACAGAACCGCAAAAAGAAGGATGACCCAGACTTCGTGTACGACGTGCAGGTGGATTTCCCACAGGATGAGCGCCTGGAGACGTGCAGCTGGGATGAAGAGGAATCGGATGGAGGGTTTTAGCCCTAAGACTGAGACTGAGAGACTGGCGGACAGCACTGCTACATGGCATTTCAGATATGGCTGATATAGTGGAAAGAACTAAGGAAATAGTGTTTTGCTGGTCAGAACATTTTCACATCTCTAATTCATTTTTAAGATTATGAATTGCAATATGTACATAAACCAAAACACATTGTGCCATAGGATATAAAATGCAATGGTCTTGTGAAGTTCAAAAAGTTCTGTACAAAACAAACATGTTGTTCATCTTTAAGTTTTCTTGTAACACCAAGCATATTAATGTAGAGTTAATATTTCTAAATTTACAAAGCTAGTGTGAGAAGGCTAACAAGTGATCATTCCTTGCTGAGGGAAAAAAAAAAACAAAGTGTAACATGAGATATGGGAAGATGCCTCAAGGTATTGAGGAAGGCAAGAACCAGCCAGATTGTAATGGGATGAAAATGAGAAGATGCTGTTTATTTAAGGATAGTCTATCTTTAAATAGCTTTCACATTCCTTTGAGGAGTTTATAGCTGCTATGACTGTTCTCTCAAAAGATGTCTGTAATTCTACAGTTGTCATGTGCAATGCAAAATTCTAATAGGTGTAGAAGGATCCCCAAATACATTCTGCATGTTATAAGAATGTGCCCTGTAGTAGGGAGTGACACAAAGGTATCAGATGGATTAACATTTTGAAAATCTAGTTAATTTTAATAAGAAATATGCAGCCTTGTATCTCAAATAAAATTAATCACGTTTGTATTCCCCAAAAATACTTTATTTGTACAATATAACATTGTCTAGGTATAACAATAAAAAATACAATTTTCTATATAAAAGAAGTGTCGATCTCTATAGTACAGAGAATACAGACTTACCCTTTGGAGCAAAGCACAACATTAAGTTAAACCATGGGATTCATTTCTTTGATTTTATTTGTATTTTACTTAAGCACAAGTGGTCTGTGGGAATAGATATTTATGCAACATCTTCCATCATTCACACTAACCCAAAGTACTTCACAAATGTTACAGATTTTCTTCTATGAGAATGTTAGCCACTTTGTTATAAACTTTTATACTTTTATAACACTCTATGACACTCACAGGACATGCTCCATGTCTTTAGCAAGGTTGCTTTTTGGGCAGATCAGTTTTTTTTAGTTTTAAATATCTGGGGAAAATGGATTCAACTTATCAAGAGGCCTCTGAATCCCACCCATCTTTTCTCTTTTCTTAATAATGGTATTTAGGTTACAAAGATTCTTTAAGTTTTACATGGCCTAATTTTCACAGCAGTCATCAATTAATTTGTTCTAGTTTGTATGACTACAAAATAAATTAATTACATCACGTATCATTATTTATATATTCACTGAACATCCTGTCAAATAAAATTTTGATTATTCACTACTTAATTAAAATGCTGGGTTTTCTTGTACACATTATTAAATTAAAACTACATACATTTTTAAAATTAAATTACTGGTACCACCTTACCAGCTATAACCTTTTCCCCCAAAACGTAATGTACAGTACATTGAATATGGATTGGTCAAATTTACATAGAAGAAAAATGCCAAATCAACGGAGTTTAACAAAACACTGCACTGAAAGGTTTGGCAGGCATAATATTAAAACAGATTATGAACCGTAAATATATTGTATAAAGGCCATTTTAAAGTGTTTCAATCCATCCCCGATTGTAGTTTTGATAAATTTCTGAATGTGCCCTTTATATGGATAATACCATTTACAGGTTTCAAAATAATCCTGAAAAGGTTTACAAGCATTTTAATACTAATTTGGTTTTGGACAGCAATTATGATCATAGTTTTGTCCTCCTAGAAACGTCTGTTTTAAAATCCTTATGGTTTGACATATTGATGCCTGCTACAAAGGCTAACTTAAGTAATGGATGTACTCCATATATAAATCTTGATTTCCTTGTCTTGAAGTAGACATGGTTAGTAACTGTTCATTACAGGACTTGGGTAACATCTTACACTTGCCTGTCTAAAATAAGTTCAATTTAAACTTGGAGGACATAGAGGACTTCTTTTACACAGCCTGTTAAGTACTAATTTTGAATGACCAAATATGATCAGCATCTGTGAAACCAGCCCAACTGGTCCTGAAAGAACCAATGTCATAATCTAGCAGCACATACTACAGACTGGAATATTATTCTATGATGACTGTTTATTTTTGTTTACAACAATTAAAACACTGTAGTTACACATTTATATAAATATTGTGCCACCTCTTCAAACAAGACAAACTGTACAGCATCCCTTACTTTTCTAAAGTAAGATTCACAGTTCTTAAAAAACAAATCCACCTCTACATTCATTTAAGATTATATAGAATGAGTTTCAGTTAATAGTTCAAGCAGCAGATTTTTCTTATTTTTGGCATGGATTCAGTGCATGTAATTCATTATAAGACTTTCTACAGTACTCTTCCATCTACAATTTTACAATATGCCATTATATACAGTACAACTCTTAATTGCAGATCATCGTGGATCAAGGCCTGTGCTCGTAAATAAACGGATCTTGTATCTGCTCTAATCTCAACTAATTATTTAACAATAAGCTTAGTCAGATTTTGAAACTGGGTGCTTTCTATAACCTATATTTACATGAGTTAGGAATGGTTCATCTTAAAAAAGAATGACTTTTTTGGAAGAAGTTAATTTTAAAATCTGTATAATAAAAGGAGGTACCCTACTGTATGTCTGATATTAAAAACAAATCTAAAACTTAACCCAGTATTCCGTTAACAAAGGTTAATTATAAACTCGTAGCAGTTCTTTAAAAAAAGCCCACTCTGAAAATCCTTACAGTACCTACCAATTGTTTGCTTTAGTTATGTTGACAATGGTTATATAAAAGCTCAACAATTACTCACTACAACTTTTAAAGGTGACAATCTGCACTTTCCATCAATAATTTGAGCATTAAAATGCAATTGCTCATGCCCAGAAATATTGAACTTCAGTAAGGGTGCTGAAGAATGCACAGGAGGGCTTCTACCAGAAGTGCAAATATGACTAGATGTTGACATGCCAAAAATTAGTCAAATCTCTCCAAAAGAGTTTACATCTTCAACAGTTACCATTATAGAACTGTAACGGAAGCAAATTAATTCAGTATCCTAGAACCACTCATATGAAGACTAGTAAAAAAAAAACTTTTTTACTACAGAGCTTGTGCACGAATAAAAAAAACAGAAGATCAAGATCAAGCTAGTTGCTCTGTGGATGGAATCACTAAAATCCATTTTATTTTTGGCTCAAGCTGGATTTAAACAATTTTCTACCTGCCGAATTTCGGCAGGGCTAAAAAAACTATGGTATTCTTCACCTGTGAGGTAGGTCAGTGGAAACATCCAAAACACTGAAACACAGACCTTTCATCGCTTCAATCTTAAGCTAATGCCTGTCCTTACGAATATTGGGTTCTTGTGTCTTAATCAGTTTTAGTCTGAGGTGTCATTTAGGGTTTTATATGGTCCAATGGACAAGGTCTGATGCATACTTCAAGTCACTAACAAGGGATTTAAAAAGACCTTGATGTTATGACTGATCCTATGAAAAATATGGTCAAGGAAAGGGAAAATATGTATATAAATTATACTATATAAACAAAATATAATCTTTCTCAAAACGTAATCCAATTCTCATTTTTTCTTTCTGTCCTGGATACAGCGAGGACAATACCTGAAATCAACAAGAAAAAACAAGTCATTAACAACATTTTACATCTAAAGCACAAAAGAAAAAAACATTATATCATTACTGCTAATGAGGATAAAGTTGAAACAATTCATTTGTACATACCACTTCCCTTTTGGCTTTGTAGTAAGATCAACACAAGCAAAGTGAAACCACTCTATTGGACACTGATAAGAGGAAAAAAAAAGGCATTTTATTTTTTAAAAGTCAATAATTTAGTACTAATTGAATAAAGATTTTGTTGATGTAATCTATTAAATGTTGCATGTAAAAAACATCTTACATCCGGGTTATCACATCCAATCATTTCTCCATATGACACTTGGTGACACAGACAGTAAGTAGGCTCATTGGGATCAACAGGCATATCCAAGACGTCAGAAGGATGCACAGCTAGAATAGAATCATTGTAGTCTGGGCTGTGAAGATACAAACATGAGAAAAACAAATATAACTAAAGAGTCATTCTGAAAGAAAAAAAACTTACACAGAGTGTTGAAGCCAACTGATAGATGGGGATTGTTAAGAGGCCATGGCTGCTAATGGCCAGGGTGAGATTTTTCCAGGACACCGAGGTAACAGCCCTACTCTTTTCGAGAAATGCCCCGGGCTTTTTAATGACCACAGAATGTCAGGACCTCAGTGTTATATCTCATTTGAAGGAGGACACCTTTTTACAGTATAGCGTCCCTATCACTACACTGGGGCGTTAGGACCCACAGACTGCAGGATGAACACTCCTTACTGCTCCTACCAGTACCTCTTCCAGCAACAACCTTTGCTTTCCCAGGAGGTCTCCCATCCAGGTACTGTCCAGGCTCACACTTACCTAGCTTGAGTGTCAAGTTATAGGGTGATATACCTCATAATTTTCACAGCCACCTTTTTTCCAAAACTAGTGCTAGGAATGCAGTAATTTATGACGTTACTTAGCACAAAAGTATTTTTGTTTACTTTCTTAATTTGTAACATCAAAAATTACTTTGAAACATACTGCAAAACTTCCACATGGCTTCTCGGTACAAACCCCGGGTGACTCAGAGCACAACTACACACCTGTTCTTCATTTTTTTCTTCTTGGGGGAGTCATCATCAGATCCCTTCCTACCTCTCCCCCTCGACCCCCTCTTGTCCTTTTGACTCCTGCCCTCTGCACAAATGCAAATATGAGTTAGGTTGCACTGCATTTTGAAGTCCACTGGGTGGCGAAAGTTCTAAGACAAGAGTCTGCCAAAAAACATCCCCCCTCCTTACTCTTTAGGCCTCTTCCATCAGGACTCTCATAGCCGCTCACTTCCAGCTTCTCCTTCAGGTCTGCCTCGAAGCGGGCAAGGTCTGCATCCAGCCTCCGAATGTGCTTATCCACCTGGTGAGACGAAACATGTTTCTACCACACTTTATTTTAGCTCAACTCGGGACACACAATATATTCCAGAAAGGCTGAACTGGTCTACCAATACCATTTCCAATTGCAGTCTGTTATTTAACTCTGAAGAGTTTGCCCAATCCTATGCTGACCAGACCCAGCATTTTGTTTAATCTGTGATTTTACAGGATGAGGTTTCAAGGTGGTACAGCTACTGATGACCAAAGGATCTGGTCAGAACCGTTTTTTTTTAAACTTTTGTAACAGTGCCAATGGCTGAATACAATTTTATAAAAAGAAAACAGAAATACAAACCATTTCGTATGTCTGCATGGCAAGCTGAACCTTGTCATCACTGTATTCTTTGCATTTGTTATAGGCTGAATGAATCTTCTGTAAGTGCTCCACTCTCTGCTCTGAAGCCAGGTTCCTCACATTTGCAATGTATTCTGCAGCCAACTGGTCTATTTCTGCCTTCTTTTCTGAAGTAGTACGAGAAAACACAACTGAAGGAAACAGCTTACATTATATAAGGATATTCCAAATGTTACTATTACCATAGATGCTGTAAGAATCTTTACACCACAGTTGTTAAAAATCACTGATTTTTGCATGTTGTAACAAATTATAAACACGACCAATATTGGTGTTAACTGAAAGACACAAATGTCACCATTTAAACACACATGTGCATGAAGTTTGACTATATAAAACCTATTTTCTTCCCACTAAAGACAATTCAGGACATCCAGAAATATTACTAAAAAACACAAAAAACAACATTTTGTTTACAAGTTTAACTATCTTTAGCACTTCGGTAGTCTCAAATATATTTGAAATAAAGAGTAACCTTCACTCAGTACTTTATTTATAATAACGTACTCAAACATTATCTACAAATACTATACATATTCCTGTGTTTGCATGGGAGTTACTGTGCTTTAACAAGCCTCCTGCCACACAGGTTTACGACACTGCTATGATGTCAGGAGGTTAGCGATACATGTTACATACCTTCTGTCCTGTTGTCTAACTCTCGCATCAGGGTGAAGTTCCTCTGTAGCTCGCAGGGCAGGTTTTCAATGCCTAGGATACACAAGAGGACAATGGCTGGAAGCAAAGGCTTATTTAGTCTAACGGGAAACGGGGCGTGAAAGAGATGTCAAGTGTTCTGGGGGATAATGTATTTGTTCTTGAGCAAACACAAACACTGGGCATTTCCCTTCAATGTTTGCCCTTTTTATGCTCCCGTCACCCTGCCATGTTTTACGCGGCTGGAAACGCACGCTTTGGAGTTGATATTTTGCATCCCGATGCCGCACAACAGCACAGCTCGCCTCCCTTCTTAAATACAACGACCGAGGGAACACATGCAGACTGCACATTTTGAAACATACGTCTTTGGCGGGTTTCATCACGACGCGCAACCTATCAAAACCCTGGCTGAGAAGAAGCGCTTCCTGCTGTGACTTTTCTAACCAGTGGCCACGGCTGGAGAGAGCCGGTCCGTGTGACGCACTTTGAAATCAAACATCCCGCTCTGCCTCATGGAAGCGGGTTATTTATTCCAGTATCCTACACCGACACGGGATTTGAACAGCAGTCTAAGACAATGCGACATATACGTTCTCAATATCCGCGAACTTGGGCGGAAAAAAAAAACCCAACTAATTCCATATTAACGTGACGAAGACTTAAAAAAAACTTAATTACCAACTTCCGCTGTGAACCATGGGCTTCCTGTTCACCCGCGTAAATACACGGCTGTGTAAAACGCAACATTCCCCGATCACACATGATTAAATCAAGACATCTGGTGTTTTTCCTGGAGGTGACTCCCGCAGAGTTTCACTCACGACACGTCCAAGGGAACGTCATTTAACTACAAGCTTGAGGGTGCTAGCTCTTTTGCGGGTCTCCTGTCTAGCGATTTCTTCCCGATTGCGTATGGCTCGGTTATCGTCCTCAAACAAAACAACAATAATGCTACAAGACTACAATACCCCGTAAGCATGAGCCCGCTCGCGTGTCGGTATTTCGCTACTTACTATCCAGGTAGTGCTCTAGATACATTGCCGTCGCCATCTTTTCGGTTTCCAGGAGCATAAACATGTATTTTTTTTAATCCAGCCCGCGTGAGGCGTACAGTTCGCTGCCTAATTAAATATTCATTACTTCCTTTGCTCTGATAGGCCCCAGAGGAGCAGAGGCGGATGGGCAGACCTGATTGGGCAAAACGGGGGCCCGGTGTGCTCGTGATATTCATAAGCAGGAAATTGTCCTACAGACTCGGCGTTGAAATTCGCGGCGTACTGAAGCGGATTGCAGCTGGCTGGATGTTTTTGAGTGTCGCTCTGCGCAAACAGGTACTGTATCTATCTCTGTGACCATTTCCTGGACAGAGTGCTTCAGCGACACGCTTCTTCAGTCTGGTATGACCCCTACGGATTAACGGAGCAAAGTGAACCCAAGGACGGCTCATTTTGAGTGTGCATTTACGGATTTGTGGATATTCGGGATGGTTTTTTAAAACACAGACATATCAAAACAAAACATAATGCTCTTGCTTAAGAGCCCTTGCTTGTAGTCTGTGTGTGAAAAGCACCCTTTAAATCCAGGTACCGATACTCGGTAGCTCCGAAAATCTTAAACTTTTTTCAATTCCCTTCGAAAAAATGAAAATGTGCAAAGATTCAATTTGATAAAATATCATATAGCGGCTCAATAGATAAGATTGTGTTGTGATTTGTTACACCGCTGTGACGGTAAGGCTTAACATGATTAATATAAAAAAGGACAAGGTAATACATCTGGATTTATTTGTCTTCGGCCCCACAGCCAGTAAAATCTATGTTTAGTTTATCCAACAGCTACCAAACAGGGATCACAAACTCTAGTCTGCATGTCTTTTTGTTGGAAAGGAAACAGAATGTCCAGTTAATCTGTAATTGTTGAATGCTGGGTCTTCAACAGCTTGGTTAATCCAATGGCGGTGGTGCCATTATAATCAAAGTGATGCTAATATAAAATCTTAAATCAAAATCTTAGTCATTCCACTCTTGGCTTGTCTGATGCCAAAAATACTCTTTGGGGTTTGTGTGAACTTTGAAATGGATCTGTTTCCCTGGCAATAAACTGGAGTGCAGAAATGGATCAGATGAAGTACAGCCCCCCATTAACAAGTTTTGTGACCCTATAATAAAGATGACACCACAGAAACCGAGGAAGGGACAGTGGTTAACTTTGCTGCCATGCGTTACTGGGGCCCCGAGTTCATTTCCAGATTTGGGGTGCCATCTGCAGGTTCACAGGGGTTTTGTGAGGTGCCCTGCTCTCCTCCCACAGTCCAAAGACATACTGGTAGGTTAATGGGCTTCTGGGAAAATCAAACCTGGTGTGAGTGTGTGTCTGTGTGTGCCCTGCAGTGGACTGCTGTCCTGTCCAGGGTGTGCCCTGCCTTGTGCCCCGCCTTGTGCCCCTTGTTTGCTGGGTTAGGCTCTGGCTCCCCTGAGTTGGACAAAGAGATTAGAACATGGATGGACTGATAAAGGCTCTTCTGACTTAATTTTCTAGTGTGTGGGGGAGAGGTCTCGGCATGGCTTTTAACCTGGCTGTGCTGCTGTGTCCCCACAGGGTCCCCAATGGCGGCTCTATTCCACGGTCTTCGCAGAGTGGCCCTGAAAGTGAGGGGGCAACGGGCGCTCTGTCGGGGTCCGGCGTCCTCGATCCTGTGCGGGGGGAGAGGGCTCCCAGTCTGCGGCGGGAGCCCAGAGCGCCTGTTCCACTCCACGCGGGCCCAGGGGGGGCCAGGCGGAGCCGCGCAGGCCTCTGCGCCAAACAGGCTCCCCTTTGCCACCATCTCCCGGGAGGACCTGGCCTTTTTTGAGCAGCTGCTGCCAGGGAGGGCCATCACAGACCCCGAAGTGCTGGAGCCGAGCAACGTGGACTGGCTCCAGTCCGTACGAGGTGAGGCGGGCCTCCTCCTCCTCCTCCTCCTCCTCCTCTCCCTGATGCCTCGTGTTCGGGTTGCAGACGACTGGTTTAACATCAAGCATGTGTCAACTCCAAGCAACAGTGATGCAGTGAGATTTAGATTGTTGACATTCTGATTGAAAAGAGAGAGCATTTTGTTTTCTGGGGCTCCCCCATGGTACACGCGCAGCTAGCGAGGTGCAGATGCCGTTGCTCTGGTTGTACAAGAGCAGTAGATGTCAAAAACTTTTTTTTTTTCCGGTGGAGAATTTCTGCATCTCCTCCCAGCAGTGTTTAGGTGTTGTATGGATGCAGGTGTACTGCAGTGAGAGAGAGCGAGCAGGGCAGCTGAATGGATTTCTTTTGCCTCTAGGCTCCAGTGAGCTGCTCCTGAGACCTCGAACAACAGAAGAAGTCTCTCATATTCTCAGGTAGGTACTGCCAGAGTCCTCACAGTGAGGTTGTCTACAGGCAGAAGTGGCTTTCTCATTAAAGTCTTTTCTTTTTCTATATGTTTTGCTTTATTATGCTTACCTGAAGTTGTTAATACACAAACCTGAGTGAGAGTGAAGTGAAAAAATAGCAGGACACGGATAATGAAATTATATTTGTTGAATAAAGAGAAATATAGGAACTATGTGTCCACACCATGTCAAAACATTAAAGCTCTTTTTAGAAAAAAAAAAAGAAATGTCTAGAGCAGATATCTAAGCATAATGGTAAATTGTCATCTGACAGTGAAGCTGATTGCGTATGAAAAGCATGGCTGCTGAAAGGTTTGTTGCCCGACAGATTTACCTATGTGATTCTGATTGCACAGTGATGGGCACCTTTGGTCCTTCAGGTATTGCAATGAGCGCAAGCTGGCAGTGACACCCCAGGGTGGTAACACAGGGTTGGTGGGAGGCAGTGTGCCCGTGTTTGACGAGATCATCCTTTCCACAGCCCTCATGAACCAGGTCCTGAGCTTTGACAGCGTGTCTGGTTAGTTCCATACTCTACAGCTGGTCAAAAAGTCAAGTTAGTGATATCTGTAACGCATCAAACAAGGAGTGGTCACTGTTCTGTGTTTGTGTATGTGGTAACCACTGTTTCATTAAATAACGTCTGAAAAATGTTCTCGGGGTTAAAGAGTGGGAAATTGTTATCCCTGTGTACTTTCATGACGACAAATTTATAACACCTCTCAACATATCGAAAGTAAATGAATACCGTATATTGATTTTCCCAATGTGTATTAAAGATCAGCGAATCCGTGAGCTTGAATTGTACAGATTTGAAGACTTGATGAGCTCAAGCGCCAGCTTATAGTTGCTCATCTTAAACCAAAGCCCACTCCTCGCTGTCCAGGCACCATCACCTGCCAGGCTGGCTGCGTGCTGGAGAACCTCTCCAGCTTTGTGGAGGAGAGGGATTTCATCATGCCCCTGGACCTTGGTGCAAAGGGCAGCTGCCACATTGGGGGCAACGTGGCCACTAATGCCGGGGGGCTCAGACTGCTGCGGTATGGCTCCCTGCGAGGCACGGTGCTGGGGATGGAGGTGGTGAGTTACCCCCGTGTTCCAGTGGGGTGGCAACATTATCCCTAATTTGTTTGTACGAGTCAGATGATCACCAGCGCATAAACGGGTATTTGCTGCACCTTTTATACCCATCTGTCCAAACTGTTGGGAATTAATTATGGCCAAGGTATCGCCAGAATGACTATCTTGACATTTTCCCCAATACATACAACCTCCTCAGCCCAATAGTATGGCACGTACCTGAGATTGAATGGGCATTTGTCAACCAGGGTCTTCCCCGCATTTGGCCAATCACTGGCTCCTGTGACTTATCAAACCCCTTCAGGCTTCGTGGTGACATCAGTGAGAGACGTCCCACCAAGTCTCCGTTCAGACGCTGTTGAGCTTGCCAGAGAAAAATGGATCCAGCAGCTGGGCTCTTGGGAGGGATCTGTTGGTCCTCATTCTCATTGTGTTGTTACAAGAGTAAACCTTGTAAATGAGTCCTAAAGTAATGTGCGATTCCGAATTTGGATGAGGTATTTTCTAAACGACCATTTTAAGAGAAGTCAAGGTTGAGAATTCAGACTTCTCTCAGGCCTGGTATGTGCCCCTCACACGATGCTTTGTTCTGTGCAGGTGCTGGCCAATGGGAAGGTCCTGAACTGTCTGACAGGTTTGAGAAAAGACAACACGGGCTACGACCTCAAACAGCTGTTCATCGGGTCAGAGGGCACTTTGGGGGTCATCACGGCTGTCTCCATCCTGTGTCCACGCAAACCAAAAGCAGTCAACCTGGCCTTTCTGGGTGCGCTGTCAATGGTGTTTAATGTACATGCTTGTCTTACTGGACATTGCAAACTCCCTTACCAACAGAACACCGACACTCCGAAGCTCCAGACATCATTGCTTATGTGTGTATTCTTATCTGATGAGTGTTGGGCTGAGTGTTCATTTTTTCTTTGATCACTCTGTTTGTTTGATCACTGCAAGCCTATCGGAGTCAGTCTAAAATCCAGAAAAGGTGTGTGCAAGAAAAAAATATTTTCTAATTACTACAACTGTAGCAAATCAATTTTAGATGGTAAAACATTCAAATGTTTTTTCCCAGAGGTATGTAGTGGCTCTGGTTATTTCACAGTTTTCTACAGGACCTCTATACCTGTGATAATAAGTTTTCCACATTTTCTGTTCTATAATGGATACAGTGATGTGGTTGGTTAGAGCTGTCCTTCATATTTTTAAACTAGGGTTCTGGTTTATATACACTTTTTAAAGATAGGCTGGTTAGTTTAATTGATGTCTCCCTTACGATGGATTTCCTGCAGTCCCACCTTGAGCTCTGTGCTTCTAGAATAGACTTGCATCATTTGTGAACCTCATGTGCTATTCATGTAGCAGATGCATACATTTAAAAAAATTGGGTTTCCATACTGATCATGAGATTCTCTAAGATTATGAATTGTTTTCAAGGTAACGGTGATGGGATGATACTATTTTAGCCCATGGTAGGGTACTAGGATACTATAGTTATTTCATCATGAGTCCAAGTCCTGTATCATTGTTCTGTAAAAGGTGCCTTGGTCTTTAATACCAACACTGGGGAAAATGCCCTCCGTCACCAAAGATGTGGATTTGAAATTTCTAGTCCAGAGGACAGAGTGCTAACTACTGGCATCTACAAGCTAAAATTCCAAAACAAGTAAAGGATATTTCTGCAGGATATTGTTTAAATGTTGTTTATATTGTAATTCTGTGCTCTGAGACTGCCATTTAAAAGTATTTCCTCATGCTTTTAGGCTGCTCCAGTTTCGAACAGCTGCTGGAGGTATTCCAGTGCTGCAGGGGCATGCTGGGAGAGATCCTCTCTGCTTTTGAATTCTTGGACAGTGCCTGTATGAAACTGGTGGAGGATCACCTGAGACTGACCAACCCCATTAAAGGTAATAACAAATTTAGTGATCCGATTATAATTAATATTGTCATTATATTTGACACCTCTGTTGTTCGGACATAAAATAATAATAACAGTTCCAATGTTTGATTGGAAGGGACATGATACTAGTAGTATCAGAAGAGTGTGGACATTAGATTAGATTGGACAAGAGTGTGAGTAATTCCTCAATGGAGCATCACCTTCTTACACAGAGAGTTCATTTTATATTGTGATTGAGACGGCGGGCTCCAATGCTGCCCATGATGAAGAGAAGCTGCACAGTTTCTTGGAGGAGGTCATGACCTCATCATTGGTGACTGATGGGACAGTTGCTACAGAAGAAATCAAAATCAAGGTAATCCTACCCATCTGTCTGTTAGAAAAAAATCATATTATTGGTAACCTTGTGTGTAGATGTAGTTCTCATAACCTTAGCAATTTATTTAGGATTGGATTCCATAGCATTTATCAACTGTTTAAATATATATGTTCTTAAGCAACCCCATGAAGCAAAATTTGTTGTTAGGTGGCCTATGAAATCACTCTATATTCCTTGTACAGAAGATTGTTTATATATTTTAATTCCTGGAAACAATTTGTTCTTGCTTCTCCGTTGAATTAAGTTATACCAGAGGACAATCCTCCTACACAAGAACTTACTAGATACTAATGTGGAAGACAAAATTAAAAGGAGAAGATATCAGTAAAAATACAGGTGTGTTCTGACTGCAGTCTTATTCTAAATCTAACTGACTAACAATACTCTTGGAAGAGAACTTATTCCTTCAAAAGTAATTTTAACTACAGCTTTTTGTTTACCTGTTAAACCTTCTCACATTTCTGTGGCTCTCTTGGAGTGAAAAAATTATACCACTTCTAATAAAAATGGTAGCATTTACTTAAGAATGATTATTCTTATTTAGCGAATTCAGTTTGTTTGAAATGACGTTCATTAATATGTGGCACCTCAAAAGACTGAATTGAGTGTGATGTATCTGTCACACAGATGAAGTGATGCGGCCCTCTGTTTGACTCTGCAGGCGCTCTGGGCTATCAGGGAACGAATCACAGAAGCCCTGAGACACGATGGCTACACTTACAAATATGACATCTCACTGCCTGTGGAGAAGATCTACCAGCTGGTAGAGGACATGCGAGAACACGTAGGATCGAGGGCCAAGAATGTTGTTGGCTATGGACACCTGGGTAAAGTACTTGTAGCTACTCAAGTCAGACCTTTGTGATATGTTGCTAATGCAAAATGAAGAAAACAATACTGGACTGATTTTTATATACGAACATTGTACCAAAGTTTTGGAAACAGCAGTGCATTAGAAGTCCCTGTACTGCAGAAAGCACAACCACTATGGCAGTATTACTCTCTAATTTGATTACAGGAGTATGAATAACTTGTTGAGATATATAGTATGTTCACCGTCACTCTCTGCTGTCCAGGGAATTTCTTTCAGCAGCGTGGGATTAAGAAAAACAGTCGGCAGTTGGCTTGACTTAAAAATGATGTTGCTCTTTTCCTTTTGTCCGTTATCTTTATTGTGAAATTGCATGTGATGTGTAGCAAGTCTATACAGCCAAGCTCACATGATTAACTGGGGGCATTAAATAGTTTTATCCTGTCTGGACAGACATTCATGTAATGCAATCTCACATGACTGAGTGAATAGTTTATTTTAAAAAGTACAATTTGAGATGGAAGAGTATATGTGATATGTGAAGAGTAGATGGAATTAGATTGGAATATGTTTAACAGATGTATGATGGATGAAGCCACCATGTCAACTGCACCCTGTTGGTAAAATAAGGAAATTGTTTCCATAATAGATTTTGTCAGGTAAGGACATTCAGTTTTTGATGGCCTAGTGTTCTTCTCATGTGACACCTTACTGTCTTTCAGGGGATGGAAACCTCCACTTGAATATCACTTCGCCCTTTTATGATGCTGCTTTGTTATCTGCCATTGAGCCATTTATCTATGAATGGACTGCAAATCATCGTGGGAGCATCAGTGCTGAGCATGGCTTGGGATTGAAGAAGAAGAACTACATTCACTTCAGCAAGGCTCCTGAAGTGGTTCTACTCATGGGGTACATCAAAGCCATTCTAGACCCAAAGGGAATCCTCAACCCTTACAAAACCCTGCCAGACACTTGTCCATGACAGAAGGACAGGATGCTCATGTTTCTTGCTAATCCTTTGTGCTCTGCTCCCTTCTGGTCCTGTTAATTACATATTTCACTTTTGAGAAGAACGTACATGTGCTTTGCTCAATAACCTTCTGCAATCACCAGCTGTCTTCTGGTAACATTAGCAAAAGGAAAATATTGAGTAGAATGCATCTTTCAATCAGAATGATCAGTTCTAATGGAGATGGGACAGAATTCAGTACTGCTGAATGTATCTTAATTTAAATGCCATTTAAATTTTTTTGGTACAAATCCATTAGATTCCCGATTTAAGAAAAGTTAAGTGCTTAACAAATATTACTTAATTGTGGGTACAATGCAGTGAAGCATGGGCTTTGAGATGGATAAACTGCATCACATAATTGTAATGTTCTTATTCTGAAATGTTTTAAAAACCATAGGGTGTATTTAATATTACGTTAAAAAACTGCAGCAGAAATATGGCACTGAATGCAAAACTTATAGGAAAACTAAAAACTATTGAAATACCCAACAATAATATGAAAAATACATTTCCTCTGTTTTAAATTTTCATTGAGTATTGGGGTTCTGAGTACTGAGGTTCCAGTTCATATTAAGTTTTTCAAAATGTGGGTCAGTTCATTTTGATTTTGAAATATGGTTTGTTACACTTGATGGTGATCCATAATGTATAGCTGATGTTCCAAAAACATCGGAGACTCTGTCAAAGGGAAAATGAGGACAAGTTGGGGTTGCAGTGCTGTGAACATGTCTTTATTGCATGTAGAAAAATCAAATAAAGCAACATAATGTTTATTCAAAGAAGTGTACCTCTTAAACAAGGACAACTATTTCCTTCAAGAGCTACTATAGAAATATTGTCTTCATTCATGTGAAAACAAGAAAGGTTGTGACTCTAGTATCAGAAAAAGGGAACTTAAACTGCAGTTAACCAATAGTTGCATTAGATGGCCCTTTTATAATTTTAAGACTGCAAAGAATGCTTCTGTTTTACATGTTAAAGAAAGTACTATACCTTTTCTCTGAAGTGTTCCTAGTACTGCAGAATACCACTACAGTCAATTAACAAAGCAGCCCGATAGTTTCATCTTAAAGAATGTAAGTTGTCAGCCTTATTTCATTTTATAGATTCACTATGTTCAGAGGCATGAAAGGCACCTAGCAGCTGTTTCCATACTATAATAAAGAACATGAAAATTTTAATTGTGGGTAAATTCATGTAACATCTGTTTCTCCCTTTTTTCCCTTTGGTCTCACTGGTTGGAGTAGTGCTGATCTGTCAGTTGTTGAGTAAACAATTTGAAAGTAATGAGTTAAGAGAGAAATGAAAATAAACTGAACAAGTGTACCTCAAAACAAATTTCAGGAAGGCACGTGCCTTCTTGTCAGGTACATCGAAATGCTCCAGTGAAAATATAAGTTCCCCTTCCACCATTTTCTGGGAGGAATTTTAATTTCTCAATACTTGAAAAAGAAAACTACCCCCTTTTAAAGTATGTTTGGGTTGAAAGCAACTTCATATTGACCAACTGAAAATAATTGTTCATTGTGGGGGAAAAAAATGATCAAAGCAACCCACGCTGAAATTAAATAATCCCTCAACAGCCTGCTTAACTGCATTGTTAAACACCTTTTTCTCTATACAGTATTCACATCACGTCTTTTAGAGTAAGATACATGCCATAACAGTACATTCGGTAACTATCTATTGCTTTCATAGTTTCTCCTTTATCAATCTTCCAGGCAGTAGACAAAAATGTGCCATTTACCCTACCCGTGGCTGCCTTAAACAGAATAAAAAAGCAGCACTAAGTATTCTAATACATTGAAGATGTGCACAATTTTCATTTGTGAATATTACAACTGAGTTGAACACCTTTATTCAACTTTGATTCTAATGAACAGAGTCCTTGGGAACAGTAGGTGACTTATCAACCTCTAAACCATCCAGCTACAGTCACCCCATCTTTCCTTAGTAAATCCTCAAATGTGCAACTCCCATTTCGGCATCTGAAGAAGAGGAAGATCGGGGTTTCAGGAGGTAGGATCAGTTCTTTAAAGACACACTCCCAAGGGCAGCCTCAGCCTGACATGCGCTGTAAAGTGCTGTATTGTCATAAAGAACATACATACCTTAGTCAATGTCCCCACAAGTCTTTTTCCATTTGCACTGTGGAAATAATTTAAAGTTTCAGTCCAAATTTCCCGTGGTGGTAATGTTTGTTGTGGGTTCATTTTCCAAAGGATTGGCCCAATAAGTTCTCCACAGCCTTACCAGCCAAAATGACCTTCCTAGTGTATGAACATTAATTGACTAAGACTGTAACTCTGACAAATCAACATTTTCACAGATTCCAAGAGAAAATGAGAATGGAGATCTTTGCCACAGTGAAATTCCCTGTTTTGTAGTAGCTCCAGCTTTGGTTTCGCTTAAGATTCTACTCTGTCAGCATCAGATCCACTTACAATTGCTTTCTAATGCTGCCATTTCTTTTCTTTTTTTGTCAAATTCTTGATTTCTCTGTCTTTTAAAAGAAACACTAGTCCATTAAGTTTACTTTCTGGAAGCCCAGGCACCTTGCAAAATCAAACCAAAATCAATTTATTTACTTTTAATTTTCCTTCCTGCTGCACTTAAATCCTTTCAGTGGGAGCAGAATTAAGAACAGTTTTAAAAACATTAAAATATTCCAGGCAATTAACTTAAAAGTTAACCTAAAGCCACTTCCTGAGCTGACCCAAGATGTGTCATCAGAATGACATACGAACAGGTTTAACACCTACATTTCTTCACACAGAAACCGAAAACTTAGTGTGACTCTTGTTGCTCCAAAATATGTAAATTCAGGACACTAAATATAACAACTTTTCTTAATGAGCTCCTGAATGTACTGCATGTAATCCATCAGCATGGTGGTGCATGAAGCCACTAAGTTAATGGTAGTATACAGTGTGTAACAGTACAGTATAATTTATGTGGTCATATGCAAAACAAATAGCATTTGCCACTGATTCATTTAATCCAACTGTACCTTAATGAGCCTGGTTTTGGGACCAAATAACGCAAGAGGCAGACTTCATGAACAGCACTTTTATATTCTTCGAATTTTGTTTAATAGGACGAAGGGGCTCAGTGCTTTAATGTGAGGGCTAAATATTTTTTGCATTTTAACAATGAATACAGAAATTCTGCCTATTGTTTCCTCCACAAAGTCTCTGCCTCACAGAGGAGCTGAATTTCACATTTTGAAGTGTTACAAAAAAAGCTAAAATCCACTTTCGTATTGAGTCTCTCAGGCTGTTTTTCTGATACTAGAAAAATTAATGGCATTGCACTTGAAGGCCTGCTTAGCTCCAATCTATACATCAACATATATGATGGCATTAATGCACACAAGATAAAGCATAGCTTATTAAAATAGCCACCATAAAGACTGGTACATGCTGTGGGTATTGTAGTTGTACAGTAAATATTTATGATTTACAATTAAAAACAGTCAGGGTACTTACACACAAAAAAAATGACATCCTAGACCAAAGCAAGAAATACCTTCTAAAAATGAAGCATATGATGTGATATTGTAAGGAAGAAAACTTGCCAGCTTGTACATTCAGGTAGTGAAACACCAACACATCACCTTAATTAAATCTGTGGAGGTTTGCATAATTAAGAGTGATTGGGGAAAGGGTTACAAAATAATATAAAATAAGTTGCGTGTTTTTATTCATCATGTTCTAAAGCAGGGGTGTCCAAAAAGCAGTGCTCCAGTCCCCATGTGACTTGGTAGCCCTTTCGTTCAGGCCCAACACATCTAACTGAAGTGGAGAGAAAGTATATCTCTGGCAATGTGCTAGTTTGCTTCCCTCCTCAATAATTAGAAGAGTTTGTTACTTACAAGCAAAGTTAAGGCTTAGAAACATTTGGCATCACTAGAATGTTCAACTCATTGTCACTGTCAAGATAACACAAACGCATGCTGATGCTTGGATACACTTTCAGTCGAGGGTTGCAGTGGACAGCAGAAATATATACACAAGTTGATTGAGCTTCTTGTTGGATAGCTTTTAAGTTTTCCCAGCGCAATGTGCTCACTATTTGTTCTGCTGGTTGAAGAAGCATTAAAAATGAGTGTTTTACAGTGTACTCTTGTCTCTGAGTATAAGCTGTGATTTCCCACTGCCCTAGTTCAACTAGCATATTTCTTGTGAAACTACTGACCAGAAGGTTCTGAATGAGGATGTTACCCAACTGCAGCTGCCCCCAAGGCCACTGTGCACAAAACACAGGAATACCTGTGTATCTCTTAGTAGCTTTCCACTCCAAACCTGCACAAAGCAAATGTATTATTGTGGGGCTGAACATATACTGTAGCTAACTCTTGTATGTGATATCATGAAACCTATAAAAATGTCTGTATGTGCTGTGTTGGCATGTTTGAATATAAAAGCCTTACTATTTGAACTCGCCCTGTCTCTTCCTAGATGACCTTTCACTGGTTGGAGACAATGCCAACAAAATCTATCAGTAGTGGTATATCTAGGCTTGGTACTATTTGATTGTTTCCTTCCAAATGAACAGCCATTTTTAAAGAATTAACTGCTGTTTTCTGAGCACTATTTTCCAATTCAGGTAAGTGAAATTGATATTTTCAAATTAATAATTCAGGTCAATTTCACTTGGCTTGAATTGGAAAAGAAAACGTTTTCATTTCTATATTGGAATAACTGCTAAAATAATATTTCTACTCAACAGAAATCTTTCATTCTACATTTTAAATATACACACAACATGCAATAAAACTAATTATCAACTACAGCTAATTAAACATGACTATTCTAGCATCAAATTGTTTAGCTTATGCTTTTCTTCCCCCCCCCCCAAGGCAAATTAAAATACTGCACATTTAAATAATTTTGGGCACAGCAAAGACTCAAAGATACAAATAACCAAAAAGGCTAAATGAGCTGAATGGCTTCCTTTTCTTTGTAACTTTCATGCTCTAAAATAAATCTCTCAAAAGGCATATAACAATGTGTTGCATTGTTGCAAGTGCATCTTGAAAGAAATTTTCCTGGTTGATTCACAGCTTCCTGCTTCTCCTTCAGTCCCAGTACAGCCCGAGACAACAGAAGGCAGTATGGGACAAGAGCATGGCAGAAGTAAGCAGGTGTGTCAAGTGTGATGATTTCTGCTTTGCACAGCTGCATCTTGTCAAAACACGTCTCCACACTGATGGAAGACCTTGCTCATAAATTAAAAACAAGGTTGCCGCAGGTGCATCTTATGGATGACAGGGACTTGAATTTAGCAGCTTAACCTACAGTTAACTTCCTGGCTGTCTTATACTGTGAGAATTACATTTACATTAAATGACAATCTTTATCTGGCTTTGATGCCCAGAGTTTTTTTCACAAGGAACAGCAAGTGATTGCCATCTTGACTACTGTAGCTTTAGTACTCCGTCACTAGTTTTCTTAAAAACATTTTTTCAGCCTGCTTTGTAAAACAAGCATTGTATGCAACCATTAGTGAAATACCTTCATGACCTGAACATTGTTTCACAACATGGACATTACAACTTGTCTAACTGGAGTCCGAGCCCAAGAGTTGTCTCCACCTACATATTCTTCAACTCGTTTCAAGGCACTTTGAAAGCACTGCAGCACCATGTCACTAAACAAACCGTCAAGACAGTAAGACTAAGTCATTCAGTGTAGAGGACAAACAAAACAAACATTATAAATAATAAAAAAATAAACTGAATAATTCTCTATTTTTTGAGGGGGGAATTAATATACATTATGTGGTTTTACCAGCATTTTTCAGTGTTAAATTACATTTGCAAATTTAACTTCTGCTTATTTGCAGTTCGGTCTAGCTGATAGGGTTTTGGATGAAAAGAAGATCAGTGCGGGATGTAGCCCAGTTGAAGGCTGGTAACCGCACATTTCCAATGAATTGCTCAACAGATTAGGATCGGGAGACGAATCTTGCCAGTGCAGGAGCACCACCTGTCCCCTGCCCAAGTACCCACTACCCAGCGTCCGCTGGTCTTTCACAGCGGTCTTTCACTGTAACGAACACTCCTGGTTCTGTGGTGGTGTTGTGGGGAATGACAGGCTGGAGACAACTTTGTCAGAGAGCCTGGAATTTTATTGCCCGTTTCATTACAGCGGGGTGTGCTAATGACGGAGGCAGAGAGAGAAAGAGGAATTCATGTAATTTATTTCAGTTACTATATGTTTGTTATTACTATTGTGTTTTTTTTGTTGATCAGCGTTATTTAAATTACCTTAAAACCAATGTATTAGTATTTTAACTTTCATGTAAAGGACATAAGGGTTACTTATGTATTTTAACCATACATAGTATACATATTTGCATGTATACATATATGTATTTTCTGCCAAATCTTCATGAATGTCAAGACCCTACTGTATTTTGAAACAGCATTTGTCTAAAATTCAGTGTTTATGAATTTAAAATCGAATAGCAGCAAGCCTAAGTATATTATTAAATGATACACCCCTCAGTCCTGCTCCTCCATCCAAGTGTTACTCCATGACTGATAACCAAACGTTTTGGGCACCCCTCCTTTAAAAGTGCAACCATAACAGTCTCCATCAGATGGCTCCTTACCATAGTGAGAGTAATCAATGTTCTAAACAGACCTGTATTTTTACAGGCTACTTCGAAAATACATGCAGACGACATAACACCCAGACTCCACCAATTTAGGACTTTCAAAAATGTTTCTTAGGAGCTGCAGAGCTCAATACCATGATGTCACTTCTTCTGCATCAGATCCCTGGGTCTAAGGGAGTTTGGGTGCCTGCAGGGTGCTTTTACACAAACATCAACAGCTGCCCTCCCTTGCCTAGGGACACTTGCTTTGTTGAATAACGCACATGCGCCTTGTTGGTTGGGACAAGCCAGAGTTAATGTACCCGTGACTAATAAAATGGATAGCAAAACAAAAAGTTGACTATACCAAGAAATAAAACTGCCCTTTTGACTCTTCTTCAAAGCGTTTAGTGTTTAGATGCGTGTCAGTTGTGGGCGACACCCTGCCACCCTGGGTTTCCTTGATACAAGCTATGTCCTGCCTGGAAGGACCGTTGGCCTGTCACACAGGGCCTCCCTTTCAGCAGTCCGCTTTGCCCTTCTCCAGGGAGCTGTGGATTTTGTCCAGAGTCTTTTTGATGCGCAGAGCTGTGAGCCTTGCCGAGGGGTTCTGATACCAGCACTCCTTCATTAGCTTTGCCAGTGCCGACAGGGTCTGGGAGGGGAGGAAAGAGTCGTGCAAGAGGTTTAGCACTACAGAAAGTGACTCGGCCTCCGTCGATTTGTGTTGCAGTATAAAAATCTTAGAAATTAGCCACTTCAAACCTAATCTCTGCACCCCAGCCGTCTAACCCAGGACTAAAACCTGATGAAACAAGTCGAAGCGCTCATACTCACTGGATCAGAGAACCATCTATTAGGAATGAAGGGCCTCTGATGCTCTACACATACAACTTTGCGCATGTCCTCAAAGCTGGGGTCATTTGGCACAAGATCATAAAAGGGTGGCTTGTATTCCTCAACAATACCTGGAACACAAGATTAGACAAATTTAAAACTATTGAACTGATCTAAATATCATCTCAGAGAAACAGACAATTTTCCCATTTTTGTCATGATGTGGAGCTGTAACAAAGAAAATTATTTCCACCCCGTTTGAATTTTGAATCATTTTATAAATGCATAAAAATGCTGCCCAGATCATTAGTTTCACAACTTTATTTTTCCCTAGCAACTAAATAAATAACTTCTACAGCAACTTAATCAATGGCAATAACGGAAGAACATTCAAAAATTATCCAAAAAGACAAAGGAATACCTAACACTTCCTTTCAACACTGTTCTCTGCAAAGCAGCTCTGTTTAAAACTCGAAACATGATGCATAGTATTTGAGTATCTTACCATTGCTGTAAGTCCTCCGGGCAATCTCCCAAAGTACCAATCCAAAGGCCCAGATGTCAACACGCTTGTACGCATCAAAGCAGTCAGTCTGGATGGACTCATCCAGAACCTCAGGGGCCATGTACCTCTTTGTACCCACTTTTGGGTTATTGCCTATGTCCAGCTGATTGTCAGTCTGAGAGTGCGTCACCGCCAGCCCTTTTCAAACAGGAAAAAAAAAGCCACAATCAACTCCCCAGAGAAAAGATCTTCATACTGTAGTGAAGGCTCAAATGAAACTCAAATAGAGAAACTGGACTTTCTGTACAATACTTCCCTGACACTTTTCCACCCCTCTAGTCTATTACAAAAGTCAATAGACTTATAATAATAATAATAAATAATAATAATAATAATAATAATTGCTTACACTTATATAGCGCTTTTCTGGACACTCCACTCAAAGCATTATCTTATCTATTATCTATAGATAATATTATCTATTACTGGTGGCACATTAATAACGTACACACTGCCACACATCATTAAAAATTAAACACCTCAATCGTTGCAGTCCTTTTCAGGCCTTGAATTTGCGGATAATGGTGATGAAGTTCCTGTGCTTCACTATTTTCCAACCAGATTGTTTTTCGGCAGGGAATTGACAAATCACTTTCTCCACAACCAAACACTGCCTCGGCTTAACTGCAAGCATCTCATTTTAAATTTAACCAAGCAAATCAAATCAATCAAAGATGGAAAGTGGGCAAGGTGGGGGCACTTGTATTTTGTATATCCTGCTTTGTGACAGGTTAACTGATAAGATCACTTTATAAGCCCTATACAATTTCTTGCAAGAGGAATTTGTCTTTTCGCATACCCCAACTTGCTCTCCATGAGACACACAGACAGGGAGAGAGAAGCCTGGGGTCAGAACGCAGGGTCACCCATTGTACGGCGCCCCTGGAGCAGTTGGGGTTAAGAGCCTTGCTCAGGAGGAGTAGGATTCCTCTGCTGGCTGCCAGATTTGAACCAGCAACCTTCCAGCCATAGGCGCAGATCCTTAGCCACAGAGCCACCACTCCGCCCTCCATGATGATGGGGGGCAGAGTGGCGTCAGGTGGCCCGCAGCAGTCCGAGGCAGACTCGGCGTGGCTCACCCAAGTCTGCGATACAGCAGCGCAGGTCCTTCTTCACCAGGATGTTCTTGCTCTTTAGGTCACGGTGAGCAATGGCCGGCTTGCCCTCTGTGCCGAAGATCTCGGTGTGCAGATGCACCAGACCGCTCACCACGGAGGTGGCCATGAGCAGCCCGTCCACCGTCTCCACAGCAACACGCTGGAGGTAGTCGTACAGCGAGCCGTTCTCGTGGTAGTGCGTGATGAGCCACAGCTGCGTGCTCGAGTTCCTCGACGTCATGTCTGATGCCATGAATCCTGCAGGAGGAAGAAGAAAAACAGTTTCAGATTCTGCACTCTTCATACGCCAATGAAATAATAATGAGCACAGTCTGAGGTCTGCAGTACAGACAGGCATGCACATTCAGTCTGACGCCAAATAATGGAAACTTGATCAAATTTCAGCATCACTACTCATAGTCTCAGAAGTCTTCAGGACGATTAACAGCAGGGTACCTTTAACCCTTTAACCAAGGTCAGAAGCATTAAAATCGATTTGTGAATCCAACCAAAAGCCGATCCTAAAGACTGCTGTGGTGTTTAACTCTCCATTCCCGTAGGACAGGTTAATAAAATCGGGTTAGTCTGGTTCACTTAGTACCAATCAGTTTTGCTCAATTCAAAAAGAAAAAGTGTAGGGCCAAGAAGCAGGGGAATGTCAGGCAAACTGCTCAAATAGAAAAGGAATAACCATTCATCATTATTCTCTTAAAAAAGAAATGCAGAATGGTAAGAAAAAGAACATATTACATTTTGGTGGCCTTCCCAATACTGGACTCCTGTTAAAATAATAATTATATTATTATTCACTTACAAAGTAAAAACAACCAATAATATGAATTAAAACAATAACAGATTAAAGCTTTTATCTGAAACACGTCAAGTATTTTTTCATAGAATACTTCAATTTCTTTCACTATGGTGTGGATTTCCCTTTAATACATCAGTGAAGAAAAAGAAGTGACCAGCTTGAATGCATTCATTTCCCCACTCCCACACAAGCAGCTTTATAAAAAGCCAAAACAATATCCTCACATTTGGGCTCCTGATTAGACATACCTAGTATGTTTTCATGTCTCAAAAGAACTGTGTTGTAGATCTCGGTCTCCCGAAACCAAGATTTCTCATCTCTGGAAGAGAAGATTTTCACTGCCACATTCTCGCCCTGCCACTGTCCTCGCCAAACCTCTCCATAACGCCCCTTGCCTAGAAGGAAAAAATATTCAAGGAGCTGGGCCACCAAAAAGCAAAGGAGAGAAATATGACCAACCAAAGTCAAGCGTTACAAACTTGTCGTCTGATCTCCAGTAATCTGGCTAAACTTCACTTTAGCCTCACTCAGTCTGGCCTTCCCAAATCTCCTCCCTAATTTCTCATTTTTCCTGCTAACTAATCCGTAAAGGGGTTGTGCTCATTCATTTGCTGCTGCACATCACCCCAGGAAGGTGCAGCACTTAAGCAGTGGATAAATTGTGTCCCAGTTGGGATAGTGTAAACTGAGTGAAAGGGGCTTTCAGCTCAAAACATTCTAGAGCTACATTAACGCAGGATATCATCAAAAAGTCTATATTTGTAATGGTTGCACAACAGAAATGCTATATATCCCCACACTGTAATTTCAATTTTCAAGTTAAAAAGTAGTTCACAACTTTTCCTGCTTGATTACTTTTTCTTTTGTATTTTATTGTTTCTACAGTTTATTTATAAAAAACAGCAAGACCAAAGTTGCTACTGAAAGAACTATTAACAAAATCAGCCGTATTACTTTAAAAATGTTAGATTCACTTCATGAGCTTCAGAACTGAACAACAGAGCACCACACAATGGCAATTTGCTATGCGCTGGGAAACTGCTTTGAGAATGGCAAAGTCTCAGTAGAGACATTAAGAAACATGCAGAAAGATAAAAGTGATATAATAAATATCATAGCACATCATAAAACACTACTTAAAGAACTTATTTCATTAGTGCATACTTATTTCAAACCAAATATGAACTAAATATTGAAATTAAGATTAATGTAATTTCACCCGAAATTCTGAACAAAGAGGTAAATTATGATTTTCACATACATACAGTGTAACCTGGAATTAAGTAACAAAGCTGTTACAATACATGCCCTCATAAGTGAGATTTAAAAGTAGGACGTTCCCTCAATCATTTCTAGCTGATCTTAGGCAATTAGTATTACAGCATATTTTAAATTGAGTTCATCTATAAAAGGCTGAACTCCATTGACATACAAGATTAAACGTTATTAATAAGAGATAATATACAAACTAATTGTGATTATGATTTAACAAGGGAAGGACACAAGCAATTACTAGGAATTTAAGGGTGCCTTTCTCTTGTATGATGGGAAAAAAAGCTTTAAATTTTATCCAGCTCTTAAGCACAAACTTAGAATTCATGCACGTTTTTGGTGCTGGTCACACAGGCAGAAATGCATTATAGATCGTCAACCCACCAACACATTCCACCAGTGTTATCTGTCGAGCCACTGTTCTCTGTACCAGGAATGGCAAACCAGAACCGCTGCCCGATGTGCATGAATGATCCAGCAAATCCTGCAGGGGCAGAAAGAAACACGAACACTGCTGAAGAGACTCCTCACTCGGCTCCATCCCTGCCTCAGAAATACACACACAGCTAAAAAAAAGAAGGATCCTTGGTCCTTCTTTCTGTCTTAAGAATGCTGGAGTTAATGCCTTTCTGCAGAAAAGACTACAGGCCTTGCTTGTATATCCACACGTTCCTTCCAGGCACATGGACCCGCCTTGATCTTTTGCACAACCTGAGCAAAACAGCGAAATATTTTGGGCTTCGCTTCAACCGCGTTTGCACCCAAGAAGCAATGCGAAGGACGAAAGCACAGCTTACCGCTAACGTGCTGTCACCCACGTTAGAGGCAATCAGCCCATCAATGGCGCCCTGCTCTGCATCCAGCTCGTGGAGCCTCTGGAGCCGGCTGTGGTGCAGCCGCCGGCACACCAGCACGGCCAACAGAGAGAGAAGGAGCAGCACCACGAACGGGCCAACCACAAATATGATCAGCACGTCCACGCCGTACTGGATTGGCTCCCCCTCTGGCACTAAGAGGAACCAGGAAACAATAAGGTTGTTGCACAACCTGAAAGACATTGCCCTGTCCTCACACAGACAGAGCTGCACTTCATCACTTATCCTGCACTAAGAGCAGAGCTGAGAAGCAACTGTGGAATTATTCTGAAAAGCCATTAGTCAAGAGTCCATTAATCAGACTACAACTATCTGCGAGGAAAATTGGTTGTATGGTATTTATTGACTCTTCTGCTGTCTTCAGGGCTAGAATCAGTTCAATTATTTTTTTAAATCACTTTCCGTTCCAACTGCCCCTTCCTTTAACCGATTCCAATTTGTTTCGGGCATGCTTTAGTGAAGCAAAGCACAGAACTTTCGAAAACATATGTGGCTTGTCACAAAAAGAGCACGGTTATTGGTCGTGGATTTTGATTTGCTACCTCAAAGTTTGATCCTAATGTTGGATCCAAAAGCAGAATATCTAAGATGGGAGATACATCGGTACATACCTGTGCGCAACAAAGGCAGCAACATTTCAGCGCTGACATTCAAGTTGCACAGGTTCGACGAGCAGCACTCAACCACCTGACTGGCAGAGTGTGGAGTCTGACACGTCATGCGGCCTTTCTCATGTCCTTCCAGACAGCCCCTCTGGAACACAGGGGTGTCCCCGCTCACAGCCACCGAGGAGAAGCAGCGCTGGCCCATGCACCGTTCCTGCAGCCCACAGGAGCTGCAGACACATTTTAGAGGGGAATGTAACCCTCTAAGCACTTCCTTATCTGCAAGAAAACACAGGCAGATCAACACACGATCAACATTGGAACACTGAACAAAAAACAGAGCTGGACAGCAGGGGTGTGGGAGGAACATGCTGCGGTCAAGCAATTAAAACTGACAGGCTGAGTAAAAAGCTGCTTTAATCAAGTGGTTAAGAAATCGATGCAATTAAATAACCATTGCTAAGGGCTTGTGACACAACATGATCTAATAGCTACAAGAGATAAAGCGAAAGTCAGTGCAGTTCAGAGATTAACAATGAGCGACTGGGAGGGAAGCAGTGTGGTATATTTGTCACAGCGGAGAGACTTGGATGCAGTGAAGTGCTGTGGTTTGAGCAGAGGACTGACATTTAATGCCACCCAGAATGATCACTTTAGCAGCACTATAATCAAATACTGCATTTCTGGAGTAATGCTTAGTGGCACAGACCTGGGATATTTTTGGCCATCCTGGGGGGGGGGGGGGGGGGGGGACATAAACAACAGCAATGTTTGATGGCACAATACCTTCAGCTGACGTCTGCAGGATTCTGAAGAGTAAAAGGAGAAGCATATGGACACTGCACTGAGCCATGAGGTTCACTGCACTAGAAAAATGAATTCAAAATTTAAATACTGCAATATACCAAATCAGAAAAGGCTTGCAGATGAGAATGCCTGGTTACAGATTAAAAACAAACAAACAAACAAACAAATACAGGACATTACAAAACAATTTACAAAATGAGAAAATTACAAATCACCATTATAAACCAAGGCAATTCTTAAAAAGGTATACTGAATACACTACAGTTGTTAATGGTTAAAAAAAAAATAATGCTTGTAAAAAAAGTACATTTATTGATTGTCCATCATGTTATTAAAATTCACTCTATTCTTCTAAACCTCTGTTAGTTGCCAACTTCAGTATTTGCATGGCGAAAACCCAGGTAATGGAGAAACTATATTAAAGCAAACAGGAAACAAAATGACTTGTTTAGCATATCTCAAAATTTAATTTAAACCTCATGCATAAAGAAAATCTACATATATATGCATTGTTCATTTGAAAAACACATCTAGAAAGATTGTAAGGGGGTGTAGGCATTTGTGTGTGGGCCGTTGCCATGGAAACCTCAGAGCAAAGGAGCCCCATTATGACACAACAACAAAGTGAACTGAAGTGAAATTTTAAAATAAGAAAAAAATGGTATGAAAAAATACTTATTTCTCTTTAGATCTAATGCTTCTCCACATGAGTCATCTATGGTACATCTTTACCTATCCTAGAGAAGGGCTCAATTGGTTTTAAAACACTTGGTATAAATGACACTAATTAGTACGCAGTGGTACTGTAGTATTTGGCACACTGGCGTACCACAGCTGCATTGCCTGCAGGTGCAGCTGTATGAAGAGTTAGTTCTACAGTACTGGACCAAAGCAAAAACGAGACACTCAACTGTACGCACATACAGGAACCACAAACATGTATAATGTTCATAATTGAAGAATGAGGACTATCCCAAGAAGGATGATGAACATTTCTGAGCAGTGAATGTAACCTAATCTTCAATGCAAACTACTGGATGGCTCCGATGTGTTAAAATAATAGTGATCTTAAAAATTAAAGTACAGCTCATGTGTAAGCTTTTTTTAAGGGTGGTTGTTTGGTGGCTAAACACTGAGGGCACTCGCTCCAAGTACAGGCTGGGCTCTTCGTTAAAGACGTCACAACTCCACACCTCGGTCACGTTGCTAGCTGACTGTGCCCAGGATACCTGCATGGCAACAAGCCAATGGCTAAGTGCCAGCAGGGGTAGGGTTGGGATTTGGTGGCCAATACTCTCTCGGTGCCAGGGAAAATGAAAAACGCCTGGGACTTCCCAGGGGCCTGCAGATTTGCACCTCATCTCCAACGGGCATGGTGCATTGCTACGAACCCCGAATAATGTCAAAAAGTGAACGGTTTTCTCATTCTCCTTATGTGGGAACAGGGGATCTTTCTATGAGACAAGATGTCAAGACAACTGGTAGTTCCACACCAGGTGTGTAAATCCAGCAATCTTCTCACCACTTCAATCAATACAGGACCATGGGGGAGCCGGATCCCATCCCAGCAGGCAACAGGTTCAGGAAGCATTACGCCCCCAGGTGGGACGCCAGTCCATCACAGGGTACACACAGAGATACACACACTCACAGAACGGCCAATTTTCCTAGAAGCCAATTATCTTACCAGTGTGTCTTTGGACTGTGGGAGGAAACTGGAGCATCCAGAGGAAACCCACGCAAACATGTGAAGAACATACTATCTCTACACGGATAGCCTGGGAGCCGGACCCAGGTCTGAGACAGCAATGCTAACAACTGCGCCACACCAGGTGGATGTGTAAGAAAGAATATTTTTTAAAATATATATTTTCAGTGAAATCTGATAACAGAATTATTTATATTGGCAGAGAACACACAGTGGTTACTTGTTGTTTTTGGGTGCCACCCAAACATTTGATAATCACACTGGTAAAAGAAATGATATTCTTTCACATTTAATGCGGCTCAGCTGCATTAATAGAAGCAAGCTTGACTACAGAAGAAGCAAGACAAACAAGATGAAAAGGAGTCGTTTGCTCGATATCTGGGTGGGGACTAATTTTGGAATAGAAGACCAACAGACCAGATTCCTCATGGTGGGTGTTGGAACAATAAGGACAGAAACTGGGTGAAAGGACTAAGCAGAGTAACATGGCACCCATATGTGGAGAGAGTTTGTGAATCTGAAATACTCAAACCCAGGAAGCAAGTAAGCTTCACAAGGCAAAGATGAAAAGGCTGTTGTCATTAAAGATGGTATCAAGAAGATGAACATTTCTTGAAGACCAGAGTGAGTGGGCCAAGAGGAGCCAGTAAGAAGAAATTATTCTACATCAGGGAAGGTTTATGAACGACTTACCCCTTTATAAACAATAATGGATGAAAGAACCAAAGCTTCTACCACATAACAGACTTTAGCTATGGGTGTGATGGATGATAATTAAGGATTATTTCAATCAAGCCTTACTTGTAAAAGATGCTGTGTGATTCCTTGCTCTTCTGCCAGTTACTTCCATAACCCAAGTAGCCTATCAGCATTGTCCCTGGAGGACTACAAGGAAAAGAAAAAAATCCAAATGAGTATCTATGAAACCACTGCAAATTTCAATCTAAATACAAGGCGGTGTTAGCAGAATATTTATTCAATTTAACACAATAATACCCAAACTATAACTTCATGATAACTAATACCTCCATTATCACTATACTCCATTTGGAGTTGATTCCCTAAACAATAAAATAAAATTCTAAGGTAAACAATGTAAAACCAACATCCTAAACACCAGTTTTCATGCATTCTGGTCTTAAAGCACACACTCAAAAAATGCTAAACTATGTAATTAAATCACAGAATTTTGAAATAAGTTATACATCTATAACTCTCCTGTATAAAAATTTACACAGCCCTACAGATTTATTCATATTGTTGATTGAATACAAACAAAAATGCATAACAGAATGAGCTGTTGAATAATTAATAAAGTATGATTTATTCTCATAAAAGAAGTATATAGAGCAAAGTCCTAAATTAATTATATTATTACCATACTTGTCCTAACAAAATTGCCAGCAACCATATCACCCTGCAACTCACAGCTAGCAACCCACTGAAGCTAAGGAGGCATGAGCCTGGCCAGTACCTGGATGGGAGACCTGCTGGGAAACACTAAGGTTGGTGCTGGAGGAGGTGCTAGTGGCACCAGCAGGAGGCGCTCACCCCGTGGTCTATGTGGTCCTACCTGGACTATGGGTCCTAATACCCCAGTATAGTGACTGGGACACCACACTGTAAACAGGTGCCGTCCTTCGGATGAGACGTAAAACCGAGGTCCTGACTCTCTGTGGTCATTAAAAATCTCAGGACGTTTCTCAAAATGAGTAGGGGCCAAATTTCCCATTAGCCTTTGACAATCTTGGCCTCCTAATAACCCCCAACTATGAATTGGCTTATCCACTATGCTCTCCCCACTGACAGCTGATGTGGCGCGCTATGGCTTCCATTGCATCACCCAGGTGGGGCTGCACATTGGTGGTGGTGGAGGGAAGTCCCCATTACCTGTAAAGCACTTTAAGTGGAGTGTCCAGAAAAGTGCTATCTAAGTATAAGGAATTATTATTAAAATACTGATCTCCAGAAGCAACGAGGGGCACATTTATTCATTCCTTTTTAATAGTTATTTAAACAGGAAATTGTTCATTTTCTCTTTAAACTACGAGCAACAGTAGATGGTAATTTGAATTCCATGGTATCATGTCTTACAATCACACGAAATACAAACGGAGGTTTTTGGATAAGCTCGCCAGCATCACATTTGGTATAAAACAGGTGAACCTCACAATTACAAAACAATTCTTCCCTTTGTGAAATCTGGAGGGGCTTCTTATGTCTCGCAGTTGCTTTGCATCTACCAGGCCTGAAGCCTTTGATACCATATAGGAAACAGAACTCAAACACATAAAGCACCAGTACTCCTCCTTTCTATTAAGAAGCACACACTTGGCTGAAAACAGACATTGCAGCATGACATCGATCCAAAGCACACAATCCCAATTGACAAAAAATGGTTAAACACACATGAAATAATGTTCTTGACTTGCCATCTCAATCTCCAGACTTCAATGCAATCAGACATTTTTGGGTTTGAACTGAAGAAGACAGATCACAAATGGAAGCCAAAGAGTTTGAAGGACCTAGAGCAATTCTTCTGGCAGGAACAGTGTGTAATCCCTGCTAGAGGAGGTTTAAATAACGCAAACTACAGTGGTGCAAATACATGTGGACACAGCTGTGTTTTCCTGACTTAATTTGTGACAAATGTGACATTGATCTGTGCAATGCTATAAAGAACACAGATTTTTACATTTATTTTCAATGGGATACATCAATCAGTAAATCTTTTGTTTACATTATGTTTATTGCAACATAAGTACAGTATGAATAAATCTGGAGGGCACCTTCGGAACTCAAACATTTGAGTCTGCCTAAGGAGAGGGCTAGGTGGCACTTCAGGGTCAGCACTGAATCATGATTCAAAATAAACATAATATCTAGTAATAGGGATGTTAAGTGGAGATAAGATCAGAAATGTTAACTTCGTCTAAAAAGTTGTTTCTTCTGATTTATTCATGTTGAATTACTGTTAATCTAATTGAAACATAAGTTCTACATAATGTTAGTGCTTTATTAAATATAAAATTAACCCCCCCCCTCCCCCCCAAAGCAAAAACTAAGACCATTATATTTTACCCAAAATGAAAACAAGTCAAACCCTTTTAAAAGGAGAAATATACTAACCTTTGTTTTCCTGGTTTAATTGTGTTATCTAAAGCATGCAATTATGTTACCTGGGTATATCAAACAATTGTCCCAACTACTAAATCAGCTGCTGATCATTCAAAGAGCTTTTTAAAACCTCACGGTCTGCAGTCCACAAAAACAGAAACTGTGTACTTCTATTTTAAATATTCACACCCACATGCAATAAACACCTATATCCCAATGGATATACTGCACAAACGTTTCAAAACGGCAACAAAATATGGATATTATTCAAAAAGCTTTTTGAGCCTTAAATAGCCATGTTAGGGACAGAGCTGTTCTGAATTGAACGAATGGAGTTGGTAAGACTTGGAAAACTTGTCTAACGTGGCTGACCTTGCGATTTCTACACCAACTGCTGGACCAGGGCCCTCAGGAACCTGGTAATGTTAAATAGAATAGAAAAAGAACATGGAATATGGTAAATTACACATACAAAGCATGAGCAAAGAATTTTACTCGCACTCCATGTAAGACTGCTATGTCCAGGTACTCTCATACCTTTACAGCTAGGTTTTAGTAAAAAAGACACTAGACCCTTCACAATAAATGTTCAGTTTATTTACAATCAATTATACTATAAGTAACTCATGCATCGAAGCAAACAGAAACGTCAGCCTCCTTATTTTCCACTCCACCCTAAAGCAAAAGGCCCAGAGTCTCTCATAACCCTTTAATGAACACTCGTGTTAACACGTGAATGGAAAACAACAGCCCAGCACAAAAGCCAGCATTGCCCCCGAACCTCGAATTGAGTGGGTCCATCATTACTTTCGAGCCCTTGAGGTTAGTGGGAGAATTGCTGCAATTTCCATTTCTTTGACATGACCGGTTCTGCTCACAATGCAAGGCGCAATAAGTCAGAACGTTAACTACCACCTCCTATATGGTGTTGCAGGTACACCCAAAACGTGTCCCGGGACCCGATCAAGCACTCAAGTCAGCACTTGTTCCCGATGCCTTTTAATAAACAGATGGTATGCTTCAAAGAGGTATTAGAACACGCGCACGAAAGTGCAGGAGTGCGAACAAGGGGCAGCATTAATATAAAGACTCCGGGCCAATATGCATGTCTGGCTGTACGTTGCAAAGCATTTATCTAGGATTGCTCAGACGCTGCGTGCTTGACAGTCATAGCTGTGACGGTCAGGACGAAGTGGAGCCCTGCTGCAGACGGAGGCGATTGCTGTCTCCGCTGTCACAGCCGGTGGCACCGAGGGCGCCTCTGTACGTGTTCTTGGCATCTGTTTAACGACCACAGCGGAGGAGACAGTCTCCCTTTCAATGCAACGCTAAGCCCCCATATCCAATTTCTATCGCTTCACTTACAATTCGGTTATTATTCTCCTGTCGTAAGGAAGTTTTAGACGCCAAGGATCCAATGGACTTATTAGAGAAAACTGTAAAGATAGCGCTTGTTACAGGAAGGCTTAAAAACAGAACCGAATCTTGTGGTGCAAAGAGAACTAGATCTATATAAACACTGTTAAGGATATTAATTAAACATTCAAGTATTATCATCTATGCTTAGGAAAGAAAAAAAAACAAACATTATCGCCCAACACTGCGTCTTCACAGCATATATCCTCCACTTTCACACACAAATATTTTTTATAGAAAACCAAATTGTACTACATCTTACCTGATATCAGGAGCATACACATGTTTTACGATGAAATAAAAAAGTAACTCCTAATTCCTAACATAAATGTATCAGAATTTTCAATACCTACACAACACCACCAGCGACCTCCCTCCCACAGATAGTGCAATTTCTGCCCAGAGCGCCCACATGACGTCAACAATAATGACTAAATCTGGCCGGGAAATGCATTGTGGGATAGTACGATTCCTCCACTCTAGCTGTGAACCTCCCTTCTGAAACAGATTAAGGGATCTAACCAAGAGCGAAGCCTGGTTAGATCCCATAATTTGAACGTGGTTTTCTCCGAAATAAAGAAGGAAATTTATTTTAGTGTGCTAAAAATGCATTGATATTTAAGGAAATGTATTTATAATCACATTTTGCTGCATGTGTACAACATGTATGTAGTACAGAACTGCAAAATAGAAATACGTTCTAAAAGCAATGATCTCGTTAAAATTAAACTAGAATAAACTTTCTGTCCTTGAAAAATGAACATATTTTAGTTTCACATCCCATAATCTTACGTTTACACATTAACCTGTGTTTGTAACAGTAGAAGTGTTTTCAAAACTAAAATGGGGTCGATTTTTGTGATAAGTATGGTTGTCAATATATGGTATTACTACTACTACAACTACTACTACTACTACAACTACTACTCATATATCTTGTTATATATGAAGCTTTAAAGGTGAATACTTTCTAATCATTGTGTAGAAGTTGTGCAATAGCCCATGACATTTAGGACACAGATAAGGCTAGGCATGATGTGCTGGTGCTATAATGTTCAGGACAACATTGGGGGCAGCTGCCTTATTTAAGGGAAATAATGTTTTTGGTGTGTCTGGTGGTGGGGAGTCCTGGTTAGTCTTCTGCTGGGAAAACACATCTCAGATTTCGCTACACCCACCTACTGCTTATAAGAGAGAGCGCCCCTGTGTGGACTCGGTGGGTGAAGGAATAAGGTTAGGGGTGTGCACACTGTAATTCTTTATACCTGGTTCGCTTATCACCTGTTCTGAGTTAGGTTAATTTCCCTGTCAGCTGTTTGCCGTTTCTGCAGAGGACAGACAGCCAACTGAATCAACTGACTAGATTTATCACAATATGTCACTGTTGCTCTACACGTAGAATTGAACGTAATTTTGCCAAATTTCTACTCAAAATTTTCTCTCTCTGGAGTTCATCACAAAAGGCCCACGTATGCATTGTGATTCGTTACTTTAGGGAAAAACAGGTGATACGAAGTGATACTTTAAGGCACAACTCATTTTTATCCACTCTTTTAAAAGTTCAAATGTAGCTTTAATAGTTAAATCGATTGGTGAACTTGAAATGTATGTTTTCATCGGTAAATGAGCACTCAAACTGTATATCGTACGTTGAATATGATGACTAGTTAAAATTAGTTTTACAACCAGACTCTCTTCGTTCATTTTCAAGTGTAGACCTTTCTGGCACATTCTACCGTTTCATTCTGTTGCGAAGACTTTTCTTTCCAGCCGCATACCCCAATGGGATTTGTAGTCATACCCCGTGGACACAGAAAGTAACTTTTTGTCACGTGAAATAATAATTAGAATAACTACAATTCCCGACATCTCTGCTCCTTCAGTCAGCTGAGGGTGACATCATTAAAAACAAGCGATAGTTTATTCCTGCTGGTTCGAGTTAACGTTTAGAAGAAAGACAGGAAATATTCGAATTTCCACATCCAGGTATAGTAAAAGCGACTTGTTGGACGCACATATAATGAGAATATTAAATTTATTACAGGTCATATCAAATTTGTTACAAAATTCGGTGTCTAGTTGTTCGCAATGGCCGAGGTGATGATGCAGATCCAGTAGCTATTATACAGTATGTTATTTTCTGTCTTATGCACCAAGATGACGACATCAATGTTTACAGTTTCCCTTGAAAGTATTTAAAAAATGTGTTCTAAATAATTTTTTTTACGTAATATATGTTTTAGCCCTGTGCTTAAATTAAAATTTCACATGTAAAATAATGACGTGAGCGTTTTAAAACGCTCCACATAGTAGATCTGCCAGAACACGTAAAAATAATCAGGAATGGAAACTAGAAACGTTAAGACTAGCTCTATTCCGGTTAGTTCCGTCATTGGTACAGACAAACGTTCGTTTGTGAACAGTAGCTCTTATGTTTTTGTAATGCCTAGCGTTTTTTGTGTTTATTTTGCAGTGATGGCCTTTGTTAAGAGTGGATGGCTTTACAGGCAAAGTGAGTAATGCAAAGACTTATAGATTTATAATTCTTTGTGTTAAAACTGTGTTGAAATGCCAGTTGGACTCTGTATTTTATTTTTTAACCCTTTGCAGTGAGTGTCCAGAACAATATTAAAACATTTAAAATGATGTTGTCCTGTTGTTCAATTTGACAGATTTTGAAATAATTCTTTAATTTTGTTTCTTTTGCATATGCGCTGTTGTTTCTTTCAAAGCAATGCTTTGAAAGTAAACATGGTTTATAGGGCAATATTTCTGGATATATGTGTCATATATATACACACATGATTTATGGTGTTATAGGTTTACAACATTTATAGGTGTTAATGCATCAAGTTGTGTTTTGTGCTTGTGTGTTTAATGTGGAGAAAACATTGTACTTCTGGGTGAAGGTTTGTATCAGGGTTTTGAATATGAAATAAGAAAAAGCTCTTTCTTTGCCAGGTACTATTCTACGCCGGTGGAAGAAGAACTGGTTTGACCTCTGGTCTGATGGCCGCTTGATCTTCTACGATGACCAGCATCGGCGGGACATGGAAGACAAGATCCACATGAGGGTGGACTGTATCAACATCCGCACTGGAGACATGTGCCGAGGTAGACGGAGCTGACCTCAAATAAGCATTTCATTGTGCTTGTGCATATGACAGATAAACTAGACAGCAGTTCGGAAGTTCTAGTCCTGGAGAATTCAATATGGCTGGCTTTTAGTTTCTATCCCACATGAGCATGAGTGCTTCATTGAAATAGTTGACAAAGTTAACTCTTTGTTTCTGTTCTAAAACAATTTGCATCTACTTGTTCCATGTTGTCACTTGGAAAGCAAAAGATGAGATGCTGGGAAACAAGGAGGTAAATGTGTCATCCAAGGAAATGGGATAATCACACCCCTCATCTTCCTGTGTGACCCTGGAGTACCTCTGTGTCTTCTGCTTTAATTCTAGGTGACTCTTAGGCATAGAGGCTAACTGATCTCTTTTATTGAACCTTTAATTAAGTCAAACCTTTCGAACATATGTCTGCACTTGGTGTTTGGTTCCAAAAATGCACAGCAGGATGGTGTATGCTGTTGCAGAGAAATTTAGATAAGTGGTTGCTGACTTATTTTCTCTCTAGCTATAAATAAGTGGCAAATTAACAAAGTCCTGAAGCAAATGGGAATAACACTCTCATCAAGAAAAGCAGTGGTGTTTTGTGAAGCCAGTTGCTTTTGCTCCAGTTTTCACTTATGTGAATGAGGGTGGTTGTGAGACTTAGAAATTGAGTTCAAGTTAATACTAATTGCCAGGATGAGGTTTTTGTCATCCCCTTGGGACCTGGATAGCACCGAACTTGCCCGAGAGGAGCTCAGTTGGGATAAAACCAGAAGCTACAGGCGTGCCTCAGAACGGTGATTGAGACGGCCTGAGACCAAGCAAGGCTGAGCCTAGTCAAGTGCTGGGATAGGAGACTCTAAGGCAAACCAGGGTAGCTGCAGCAGTGGAGTACTCTTCCCCTCTCATCTGAATGCTGTTCAATTCCTTAACCCACAGTGACTTACGGTATATTTGCCCCCCTTACTGCAACTTGGCTATTTTATGGAATAGTGGCCGTCAGTTTGGGTCTACAGCAGTTTCCCCGTGGCATTATCCCATGTATGTTTTTAAGATCAGGAAATGAAAAAAGTATAAAAATTGAAAACGCTGGGGGTGATTATGCAAATATTGACATTGGCTTGGTATAGTTCGGTATACCGTGTTCATAGGCTGTCAGAATTAGCAGTCCCTTAAATTTTTCTGGACTTTAACCAAATGCGATGTGTTGTGTGAAGAAATCCAATGTGAAGGGTGTTCATGTGTGCATTAGAGGTAGCCCAGTGCTCATGTGCTCTCTCTTACCATCTTCTCTATATCCTCAGACTTCGCTCCCCCGGAAGGTAAAGGCCGGGACTCTTTGCTGCAGTTAGTGTGCAGAGAAGGCAGGACCATCAACCTTTGTGCAGAAGGCGCAGACGATGCCTTGTAAGTACTGTATGCCACACTATCAACTCTACATTCTCACTGTATCGCACATACTACAAATCGTACACACATAGAACATCATCTAATTTTAACTCATTCATAACATACAAATTAAAAAGCATGCAGACACCATTCATACTAACTATAGCTTAATCAAGCCTATATCTTAACCCAGTTTCATCATTATACTAACTCCTGGCTTCATCATTATTTCTAACCATTAACTAACATCTTAAACCTGAAACCAAGTCCAAGCCTAAATCTTCACCACCACAATTCTTGCATAGAATTTAGCATAGAACCTAATGCTATTTTCATACCTACATTCATGAAGAACTGATTACTTTATGAATTTACTCAGAAATAAAGCACAAATGCTGCTATGTTTATGATTCCTTTCATACACAATAAATTAGAAACTACAGTTTACTTCCATACAGAATCAAATTAGCTCTTCTGGATTCTTATCAGAATGCACTTTGCTTTTACACTGTACCAATTTAGAGTGGATCTGCTTCTCTGAATTTGTGAAAAATAACATTATCATTAGCTGATACCTTTAACCAAGGTCACTTAAAATAAAAGGAGAAAACATAACAGCTGTGCAATAACAGCATAGGTCTGCCTGTGTATTTGAAGAAAGCGGTTCATTGCAGTTAATTTATATGTTGTAGGTTAGAGCTCACGCTCAGTCTGTCTGTAATGGAAAGCAGTATGATCTCTCCTTTGGCACACCCATGAGGATAAACAAGCAAGCAGGACATGGTCCTTTGTCAGCCATTATACAGATTAAAAGGCTGGAGGACAGTTGCTTGGATGAGGGAGTGGGTTACGTAAATTGTTTCAGATGAAAATGCAGGATAAATGGATATGGTTTCAGAGTGATGCTTCACTGGTTTGTCTCCTTGTTTCAGGGCTTGGTCGATGGCCCTCCAGGATGCCAGAGTAAACACGGTGAGTTAATGTTTCCATTCCGCAGAAGAGGCAATGCATCTTGCTCAATTATGATAATTCTTGCTGCTCAGGGCTGTTAAAAAGGCTGAGCACTAAATTAGCCTGCCACTTGCTGTTCATTCAGAGAGAATACTTAATGACATACCTTTTTGTTTTGTAGAAGTTGTCTGTGTAAAATGCACAGCCCTCACTTCTTTTCTTTCTTCCTTACAGCATGGAATTAACCCCTGATTGTTCATAACTCTTCAATAATTTCAATTTTAAAATATATATTTTTTTTATTTTAGGCCATTGTGTCAGACATCCTGATGCCATGACATCCATAAGGATGCTTGGTGGTGATTTGAAATTATTATGGTATAAAAATAACTGTAGCTTCAGTGATGGCATAAAGAATGAATAGACTTCATGGCCTGTTTAATGTATTTATCCTAACAGAGTTCTATTTTTGAAATATTCTGTGTCTTATGAAAACTTTTTTCTTTCACAGGTATTAAATACTCCTCCTATTGGCTTCTCAGAAGCAACTATGGCCTCTGCTCCTCCTCCATATTCTGAATACGCTCCCTCCCAACAGGTAAACACAGATGCTTGTAATTGCTGGTACTCCATAGACTCGAACAATATTCACTCTGTACTCATTTATGAATGATGCTATTCTTAATTTATATGCACTGGTTTCACACACTCTGGAACTACTTAATCCGTGTTTGTACAGGAAAGTCATATGGTTGTGTAAATAAAGTTTTTTCTTGAAACCAGGTTAAAAATAGGATTATAACACTATTCCCTTCTGGTCTTAAAGACCTGAAATCTGGGGACAGTGATTGACTGTCATCAGCTACCTTCACCTGTATATTAGGATAGTGACAATAATAATAAAAATGATCATCATAATTATCACCACACATCAACCATCAGTGGGGAGGAGAGCAGAGTGTTTAAGCTAGTTAATAGATGGGCATTATTAGGAGGCCATGACTGGTAAAGCCCAATGGGAAACTTGGCTAGGACACTGGGGTCACACCCCTACTCTTTTTGAGAAACGCCCTGTAGATCACAGGGTGAGCGCCCCCTACTAGCCCCACTAACACCACTTCCAATAACAAAACTTACATCCTTGTACTGACCAGGCTCACACCTGTTTAGCTTCAGTGGGTTGTCAGTTGTGAGGGTGATATGGCTGTCGGCAACTGGCCTTTGCCTATTTTTGCAGGTCTTTAGCTACGATCATCATGGGACATACAACCCACCACCTCCACCCGGTTCGCAGATTGTGTATGCTTCCAATGGACAGCCCTATGCAGTTGCATACCCCTATTATCAAGGTAAAGTTATATCAGTTATCTTATTATCTTCATCAACCTTTGATTGAAGACTTTGTGCCATTGTTTCTTAATTATTACTTGCGCTGGGAAAGCATTAATTTGACAGTTAAGGATGGCAGAGCACGTTGAAGAATGCAGCGGAAAAACATTTATAGTGCATTTTAATCACATGGCAATATTATGGTATCGCATTCTAATGCCATCGGGTCAAGTGTTTAATTGAGGACAAGTATGTCCTCAAGGTAGAGCAGCAGTGACCAGATACAATTATTTCTAGTTATCCAACAGCAGTTTGAGTCCGGAGAGAAAATATAATGCAGAAGACAGGGATCAGACAGGGAAGGTGGCACTCATACTTCTCATTTAGTTTATAATCCGCTTTAGGCACTGGGATGTTTGAAAAGAAAAGGCCCGCTGTATGCCATGTGATTGTTTTTGAATGTTTCCAGGCCATTACCCACCGCCTGGCGTGAATCAGGTCATCGTCCGCGAGCGTTACCGTGACGACACCGGAGACGTCGCGCTGGGCATGCTCGCGGGAGCGGCCACAGGCATGGCCCTGGGATCGCTCTTCTGGGTGTTTTAGTTCTCCTGTTCCCTGTGCAGGCGGCACATCTGCGACATACAAGTGAACTCGTCAGTGATTGCACACTTACCAAAGCCTTTAATGTCAATTCACTGCAGCACTTTCCAAGTAGTATGTGACTCACTCACTCTTTTAGATACATGTTCTATGAATGTGCTTACAAAAATGATCTTTTACCATGTTGTTCGTAGTTATCTGCTGGTAAGTGGAGTAACATGAAGATTTTTTTTCCAGTGTTGCCTGTCAGTTCAAGAGTTTTTATGGGTTTTGGGTTTGTTTTAATTTATTTTGGTTTGTCTTCTTTTTCACATGCCTTTCCTTACGTGTGTACTTCTTTCTTAAAAGTTGTATTTATACATGTGTATGGTTAATGCACTCCACTTGTTCATTCACAGAAGGCCAGTGGTGATTGTTTTATAAATATGAGGTTATTTTTTTTTCTCCTTTAAAACTGTACAGGAATTGCCAGTTAAGCTTTTTGGAATAGTAACTATTTGATTAAGTGATACAATTTTGGGTGGGTACATAAGATTATTGATTTAATTGCATGTAAGACATGTAAGAGAATTTGAGTTATGTGCTATACCGGCAAAACCATAACCAGTGTCCCAATTCCACAGAAGTAGTAAAGATGAAAAGACCTTTTCTTTCCTGAATCATCCAACATATGTTTTTCTGAATCATCCCATATTCAGTACTTCCAGGATGGGCTCTAGGTCAGTGCGGCTCTTTTACCAGGAATGAGTGGCATTCCAGTGATGGATGGACATTGTCATCCTGTTATTTGAAAAATATGATTTATTAATAAATTATATTTTAAACAAGGCATCTTGATGCACACAAGAAAATCCTGGTTGTTGAGTGTATGAGCTTGATTGCATTCTGGTTCTATTATTCTTCCAAGTAGCATTTGTTTCTTCAATGTACTTGAAATGTGACAAGCTTTAAAAACAAGATCATTTTGCTTTGTGCTTTATTATTGTTAAAGGTGGTTGTGGGCTTCATTTTCATTTATGTTCGTTATTTTCTGTGAACCATACTGCAGAGGTGTAGTGAGGCTAGATATTCAGATTTAAAAGGTAAAAAAAGATGGCCTTTCAGCTTTAAAATGGTTTGATAAATGAAATTCTCCTATGTTTTTAAAAAACACATTGTAGGAAAACCAAAACTATAACTAGGGTTTCAATTACACAATTACAATTCCTATATAAAATCAAATAACTTTTCATGGTTTATGAAAAGCTTCGTGTAGTGTTCAACATATCCTTTGTAGTCAAATCCCCTTTTTTCCTGTTCTATATAAAACACCCTTTCCCCTCAACTTCATGTTTAGTGAAAAAAGGGAATATTATGTGGTTGTTTTTAATATTCACTTCAAAATAAAAAAAACAGTACTCTAAAGTGGTCTTCAGCATGAATGAAAAAGAAGGACGAATGGATCTCAAGGTTTTCTTTTCAAACCCTCTCATAATTTCAGAATTTCAATGTATTTCAGAAGGGTATGTTGTAAAATTCAATACTCCTTTGTCAGTAAATAAAAGTAAACCTATTTCTGTGTGTCGTTTTGTTCAGTCATAGCTTAAAAAAATGATATCCCTCTTCCAGAAGACAGACAAAATTATGATTTCTTTCATGTGATGCATTCTAGGTGTCAGTTATGATAGTTTCTCCTGATAAATTGAAACTAAAGGTACAAATTACTTCAAAGTGGCCTCTGACAACTTCTACTTGAGGACTTAAAACCAAACGCAATTTATTTAGAATTCGAGACTGGTGGCTATAATTGTAACAGGCCAGCTAATGGATAATTCTATGACTTTAATGACCTCCAGACTCTGGCGAAGTCATGATGAAATTGCATTTTCTGCAACATCATTCATTCAGTCCTATTTTTTGTGAAATAATTTCTAACCCCTTCTGGAATATCAGGTAACCTATATGTTTTCCTATAAGGTTCCCTGCGAGAACACGGGGCACAATGAAACCTGCTGTTGTCTCCTGCTGTTTCTACCTATAATCAGAGCAGAGACCACGGTTCCTGTTCCAGGTACTCAAGAGATTTAATCTGGGGCATTAGTAAACCACAGAAAGACATTGTGTAGGATTTAATTACTAACCCCCAAAAATGAGCTGACCTGCCTGGAGCCAGGTTAGCTGGAGTGTGTAAATCACATACCATCAAATCTCGGCATAATTGGAAGAGAAATAATAAACGACTGTCACAATCTGATGAAGACCAGCCAACTTGAGCCGATTAAAAACATCAAATAAAGATGTGTTGCTTCTCTGGGCTCCTCCTCCATTATTGTGTGGGTGCCAGATTTATAAATTGTGTGCAATGTGAGATTGGGGATTTTTTTTCATCCTCTCTTGAGTTTGAAAATACCATTAAGGAGCTCATACCTAAGATGGACCGTCCAGTTAGAGAGGTGGTGCTGGTTTTCCTGTTCATTGCAAGAGCCCAGGTCTCCAGTCACAGTAAAACAAGTAAGTTTTGAGAGCTGTTTTTGTCATATGGAAGCAGTGCTGTAACTGAGAATGGGTTTTAAGCTTAAACGCTCTTTACCAGAAAATGTAACTGTAATGATAAAATGTCTGTAGTGGGTATGTCAAGGTGATGTTTTGGTTTTAGAACAGGTTCTGTGAGAAAAAAGACTAAAGTTTTGGCAATAATATTTATCCCGGGTGAAGTATGAGCCCAACTGACTGTAAAAAAGCTGACATATTTTATTGCAGCTGTGACACTTCACTCATTTACCTACATATTGAGAGACATTAGAAAGGCAGGAAACTGATTCAAACACTGGTTAAAGTGTTTGGTGTTGCCAGGTTCCGCTAACAACAGTAACATAGCAAAACAAAATTGCATAATTTTATTAAAATACGGAACCCAACTTTTTCTAACTTTATTTCAAAATGCTTTAATCTTAGAAAACAATAACTGTTTAATTCCTCTGGCTTGCTGTCATTTCCCTGTCTTTTCTCTAAATCTGCTCTATGCATAAAGCCAGTAATAGTATATAAAAAAGACTAACATTTAATTAATCTAAGGTGTCAATTACTAAAAATGGTTACCACAGTGCTGATATTGATTCATTGAAGGAGTTAGGCTGAACAGATTTCAGATTTCCTGACACATCCTTTGATCTCTTACATTAAAATTTAATTTACTTTTAATTAGTCTTAGTTTAGTCTCTAATCATTTTACTTTATTATAGAACACCCAATTTCCCTTGGGTGATTTGCTTTGTTCCTACCGTAATTGTAACCATAACGTGCTTCAGTATTAATGTGATTAGGTGCTGAGAAAAACTGGGAAAAAGCACATTTCAAAGAATAATTAACTCACAAAGATTTCCAAAAGATTCACTATCCTCAGTGACATTAAGTTTAAAGTTGAGAAATACAAATGTACTGTATTACCACTTCTCTGAATCTCATATTCAATAATTTAAGAGACCTAATCACAGCAGCAAATAATGCTTTTTCCATGTGAGATAATTAAATCTCAGTTGATCTATGCTTATTATTTTAAAAATGAGATTTTTATAATTAAAATATTCTTTTGTCAGAAAGCAGTAGTTCACTTTCGTGGCATGAGTGAACTGATTTTCACTCAAGATGTTTGTTGTGGGAGAAACTGAACAATAAAGGCCTCCCCCAATTGGTTCTCAAGACAGTGATGTATCCATTCTGCAAGACCACTGACCGCTTCAAATGAAAACTTAGGTGGTAGAAGAGCGCTAAGCTCTTGCAATGTTGCAATGTTGATAAAAACTCATTGTATCTCTTTTGTTGCTCAGTAACGTGGTGTGTGGTGTCAGAAGCAGAAGAACAGAAATGTTTGGATTTTGCTGGAAATGCCACTGCCAGGAACATCATTGGCAGACTGCAATGCACCAGGGCGTACAGCACTTTAGACTGCATGGAGAAAATTAAGGTACAGTAAGCAGAATGGCTGCTGATCCATTTTGAAATTGCTTCTTAAATGCTCGGGAGTTAAGAGAAACTTTGAGAGTCTATGTCTGTTGCAGAATGGCACTGCTGATGCTGCCTCCATGCAAGCTGATGACATTTACTCTGCAGGCTGGTGTTACGGTCTAGAGTTGGCTGCTGGGGAGTCCTACAATGGAGTAGGTGAGTGATCCAGGGTGCAGTACGGATTCAGATAACCCTGATTATTCAGCAGCATTGTGACTAAAATCTGTGTATCTGTGTCCAGGGCTTCTAGATATCATTATGTCCTTGGATCAGAGTTTCTCTTCCTCTATTAAGATGAGGTGGGTGGTAGACCAACATTCCATTAGTTTTTTTTCGAGGTCTCAATCCATTGATCCTTGCTCTGACAATGGTCTCAATGGGTGGTCTTTGCCATATGCTAATAACACAGTTTACATTAAAAGGCTGTGGACCTGGAATAGTGTGTTATTCAGTAATCGGTTGCTGCTTACATCAGGCAGGTCCTGTAACGTGTAATCTGTACTGATTCTGACTCGTTAAGATGGTATCAGCTATTACGTTGTGGCCCTTGCAAGGAGATCCTCTGGTGATCTCTCCCTCTTGGAGATGCATGATCGGAGCTCGTGCCACCCTGGCATCCATACCACAGTTGGCTGGACGGTGCCCATTGGCTTTCTGGTCAACACATCTCAGATCAGCGTGGACGAACAATGCAATTTCCCCAAAGGTAGGAGAAAGAACAGTCTTCTCCACTTCTGTCCCCTTTAAAACCACACGACCTAGAACGTGTAACAACAAATATCCACGTATTTATTGTTCTTAAACACACCATCTACTTCTTCATGCTCATTTCTGTGCTTTCCAGCGTTTCTCGGAATGCCGTTGCCGTCATGCTGAATATTCGCCAACTCTGATAGGAAATTCATTAAGGGGGTATTTCATTTATCAAGAGATAAGGCAAATTTGTTTCAGATAAGGTCATTTCCTGTTGTGTGACAATGAAGTGGCTGTTTATTTCATTACATTAGCTTGCAAAAAAAAATGTCTTTTGTCTTTTTAGCTGTAGGGGATTTCTTTGGCTACAGTTGTGTCCCTGGAGTGAAGAACCCAGAATATGACCCCAAAGGCAACAATCCCAAGAACCTGTGTGAAGCCTGCATCGGGGATGACAATGATAGAAACATCTGTGCAAACAACCCCTCAGAGAGGCATTTTGGGGAGGCAGGGGCTCTGAGGTAACAGCAGCATTCTCCCAGTAACTCCTCACTCTGTGTAGCAGGGTCTCAGAAAACATTGGAAAAGCCCTCCAGGGTCAATGAGTTGGTCTAGGGGATTACCAAAAACAAAAAGAAGCTTATCACTCAAGTCTAATAGAGTGTAAATTCCACAGTGTCAAGTCGCAGGTCTGATTTGACAGTAGAGTTTTTGTTTTCATATTTTAAAATAGAAAATACCATTTTCTATAGACTTACTTATATTGATCATAATGCATTTTATTTATAAGCTGTTATTTCTAAGCTTTCTAATTGAGAGAGTTTTCCCTGTTCTTTTTCTTGGGGAGGTTGACTCCCTCCACTACAGCTCCAGCTCCATATCGCTCTATCATATCGCATCACGTTTTCAGAGGCACGCAGAATAAAGGGAATGTCTGAAGTTTCAAAATGAGAGGCTTTAAATCACACACAGCTGTAGAGCTTGATTGCACTTCATAGCCCGCTTAACAAATACAGATGGAAACCTACCATGCAAAAGCTCAGACAGCCCTCTTTGTCTTCAGGGAACTAAATTAAGACTCCCAGAATCTCAGAGATAAACATTGACACAGATGCCCGTCAACAAAACAATCTGCTCATTGGCAAAATCTGATTTCTGCTCAAGAATACTTAAAAAGAAATATAGTTGAACATACTTAAATAGAAATTTTGGATGAGATGTCTTCTGCCTAAAAGAAAAAAAAAACAGTTTTGCGTGTCGTGATTCGCATCATGTGTTATATTATATTATGTGAATATGTTGTCTTGTTTTAGAGCTCAGTTTCGCAGTTGTTAAATGTGAATGATTATGAATATGTACAGTATATGCACTGAAATGATATTTCATGGTTATGTTAGTGCACTTTAGTCCAGTTCTAAAGCATTCCTAGGTCCCCACCAGTACTGCCCATTATATAAACCAAACAGAAGCCAGTTATTCATCTCTCAGAGACTTGGCCACTTGACATGCATGTCTTGAGCAAGATTCATGTGCGTTTTTATAAATCTTTCAAAACCGAGTAATGGAAGATTACACTTGTTATAAAACAAGAACACAATGCTATAAATATTGATATTTAATCTTTCAAGTGGCTGTATCTTTGAGCCAATTCAATCAACTAGTGAGGTGGTATACGGTGGCCAAAAATAACATTGGAATTAAGCCCATATTGCATATCTTCATATTCATTGTAAAATATGGGAATATAAGCTTTATGCTTAGGTCTTGTCTAAGACTTTAGCAGACATCCATCACAAGAGTGCACTAAGGTGAACCCGAATCTGTGTGGGTATCTACAGACATTACTCCCAAATTCAGATTAATGAGAGCACCCCCTGAAGATACCTCCATTCCTTCTGCGTGACTAAACTGCAATGGATGCAGAAACTATTCTGCACAAGTTTATGACAGCCTCTAAATCAAAGGTATGGCCTAAAGAAAAAAACAAAACAAAACAAAAAGAAAAGACAGTTCTGCCACAAACTCTGTGGAAATAAAAACAACAACCTAACTTTTTGTTTTGTAGATGTGTTGCAGAGAATCTTGGAGATGTAGCCTTTGTTAAACACTCCACGGTTTTTGATAATGTGAAAGGTGAGTCTGTTTCTGCTACATGTCTGTATTTCAGTATTCATTCAACACTCAGCAGTATTCTGGAAAATATTGGTTTTATTTTTATTCAGGCTGTTCTGTTCCACAAGAAGGCAACATGACAGGTTTTTACTGTGGGATGAGGTGGAATTATTTGTAAATCTCTCAAGATTGACAGTTGTTTTGTTCTAGAATTGGTTATAAAAATTGTAAACCTATTATTACCTGGAAAGAATTAATGACTCTTGACTAAATTGTATAATACTTTACAACCACTAGATGGCAATATGTTATTGTTTTTTTTTAACAATTGCGTAACACCTCTTTTCGTGCCAGTCTAACTTTAAAATGAAATAAAAAAGCACTGAAGTCGTGACATACACCAGACTATGCCTTTTTATTAAATTTTGATTAATCTTATCAGTTTGAATCTCCAATACTGTCGTTTGGATCTCCAGTACAGTCAGCTAAATGTTAATCTATCAAAGAAATGCTCGTTATTCCGTTTAACGCTGTTTTAAGGTGATAATCATGCAGAAATAAAACGTTCTCATATATCCAGGAACATAAAATCATGACTGGAGTTTATGTTGTAACATAGGAAGCCTTGGGAGTTTTTAGAATAGCTGTGGACCCTGCCAGGCATTTCATATGTAAAATCTGAGGCTCTGGAAAAAAATAAAATTATACTGGTATTGATTATTTCAATTTCAATTCACTAGGCACATGACCAAAGGGTAAAGGAAATAAGTTGAAATACTCTGTTCAGATATGTATATTGTAACGCTTACGGCCGACAAGCACTGTGTGTAAGAGCAGGCGTACCAGAGCAGGTGACGTCACCGCCCTTCCCTGTGATAGCAGCACCACAGCTACTGGGCTGTAGAGAGATCTCTCTTTAGCTCACGGGGCTAGGTCGCTGCAGAGAGACGCGGAAGTCCCGGGTTCGAGCCCCGGACGGTGCAGGGGCCGACCAGATGCGGCAAGG